TTACTTATAACCGACCCTTATTGCGGGAAAAATACCTACGAGAGGAGGCTCAAAATTCAGATGCCACATTGCAAATTGCAAGTACCGAGAAGACCGTTTCTTCGTGAAGTATGGAACCCAGCAGAAGTTACTATTACGATATCAATAGAATGTACCTCATGATAATCGGCCAGTGGCCTTATCAGAAACCGAAAGAGAGAATGATTTTCTTTGTATCTATAATGATACTTGCAGCCTCTTCACTCTTTCTACAGGTAATGTTAACTGTCGTTAAGATTTTCTGTTTTTAGAAGAGGAAATAACTAATAGTAGAAATTTGTTGCAATTTCGCGCTTGTTGAAAATTATTTTTACTTGCAATTGAAGTATCACAATAATTTTAGAAAAATTTTACGCTTCTTTATTCACGTGAATGCGTTTCCAGGCGGCAAGATTTGGCACATGCGAAAACGCGCAGTGTATCTACGAAACTTTACCAATATATATGTTGGCGGTGATAATTGTATTGAAAATTTTCACATATCATTTTAACAGCCGGAAAGTATGTTTTATTAGTATTTTAATCCTGAGCCAAAGATGTAGCTTTGTTGCAAAATCTTATTGTTAGATTCTATTGACGATGTAGTTATATCCGCCGAGAAATTTCCTACATCTGACGTATCGAATATATCGGTGGTGTTTTTAGATTAAACATCTCACAGATCGCTTATTCGTAGACTGGGATATGTTCGAGACTAAGGAAGAATACGACATTATGAGAAAGTATGCCGAAACAGGCAGATGGTATGCGCTGATATACGGCTGTAAGTAATAATTGATCTTATAATTAGCTGAGAATTAACGAAATTCATTTTCTTATGCAATCGGAAAATTAAAATAAAATGATATACATATTTTCTCTGCGTTGTTAAAATTAAATAAAAATAAATATTCCGAACTAGTTCCGAAGAAAATATTAATATAATTTTTTTGATGTATTAATGCATAAAAGATATATATTGTACAAGTTAGACGAAGCAACAGACACTTTCAAAAATATTATACAAAATAATTTTACTAACATAATTTTTAATTGATTTTAGTTTTTAATTTTAATTTTAGTAGGCGCTCGTTTTGACGAATTTTGTTCTTATTGCAGCATTTATTTATGTGGGTACTGTTGTATTTGCATCAACCGCTCTCGTGCCACGCATCTTGGATGTACTGTTTCCATTGAATACTTCCCGTCCTATATTGCTCCCATATCCGGCATACTATTTCGTTGACGAAAATCAATATTTCTACTATATTTTTTCCCATATGTTGATTACCAGCAGTATATGTATGTCTGGAGTAGTCGCGCACGATACCACATTTTTCGTTTACGTCGAACACGTCTGTGGTCTTTTCGCCGTCGTTGGGTAATGATTATTCATACCGAGAGCGAGATTATACATCCCTTTTAGTTAGAACATAAATAAAATTTATTACCGAGGAATAAATATAACGTAATATAATAGTTTTAGTTTTTGTATAACATATTACTTAAAAAGAGTTAATTCTCAAATTCAGAAAACAATTCCGAAAATTCTCTAATAACATTATTTCGCGCGAATAGATTTAGATTTGGGCATGTGTCACATAAACGTAGTACTATGGAAAAAAATATGCTCAATTATCCGGGTGCCGTTTATCACAAGAATATTGTGATTTCGATTTACGCTCATCATAAGGCTTTACAGTGAGTGTGTAACAAACGTAGTATATATTTCTCTTGTTAATCCTAATGTAAATTTAATAATCTTTGATAAACCATGATAGATTACGATGTTTTTGCTTGACTTTTATTTAAATATTTAGCCATCATTATTATATCTTTATATCATAGATTTGCTGAATTTCTTGAGAGTACTTTTACGATATCATTCGCCGTGCAACTTCTGATCGTTACAGTTGGCTTGAGTATTACTTTAGTACAAGTAAGTTACCTACGAGTAGGCAAACACTAGAATTCTCTAATGTAATGAAGAACTAAAACAGGATTTTTTTTTACCTTTCTCGCGTTTTCTCTCAAGCTCTCGATACAGCTGCACAATTTAGCAGAAGCGATGAGATACTTTCTCTTCATTTTTGCTCAATTGTTTCACTTGTTCTGCTTAAGCTTCCAAGGACAAAAGCTGATAGATCACAGCATCGAAACTTGCGACAAGATGTAAGAGAAAGAGACAATATTTAATTGAAAATAAATTATTTGTCGATATAAATTTAGTTGGTATATAGAGAATATCTTTTCCATAGAAACACAAGAATTTAACTAATTTTCTATATACAATCAGTATTCTTATATATTTATCGTGCTTGTATTGTGCGTATAATGAAAATTTTATAGATATTGTAGCCCGTGGTATACCATACCCGTGAAGGAACATAGACTGCTCATGTTCGTGATGAGAAGAAGTATCGACGCTAGTGTCTTGACCGCCGGCAAGATATTCGTATTTTCTCTAAGAAATTTCACCGCGGTAAAACAATTAACATAACACATCTAAAAATACATAACCACCAAATATAAAACCTTTAAACTGTTCTTTAGGTCGTGCAAAGCTCGATGTCGTACTTTACGTTGCTATCGTCCTTTGACGTGTCATAATCGATACTTAGTGATTACGCCAGCATGTAATAAAGTATCCCTGAAATGTTCCACAGAAGTGTAATATTGCAAATAATACAACGAAGAAAATAATATTATATTTATATTTACTATTATGTAATGAGACAAAGATAATAAAATTCTATTTTGTTATCGATATTGCTCTACTTTCTAAGCAAACTAAGAAGCCTTCCCTCTTGTCAGAGACCTCGAACACTCACGAAATTTACAGGAGGGCTCTCTAACAATGGAGAGTACTTATTTCGTCGCACTATTCCAATCAATACGTTCCGTCCGGAGGGAACATGGAAAACGAGACGCTCGTCATTGGGACTACGTTATAGTTAATGTCACAGAATCAAATACCACCTGTTCTCATAAATTCTATGTGCCAGCTGTTGATTGACATGACACGCAACAAAGTATTTCACGAGAATCAACTATGCATAGCGGTTTTATCGTAAGGGGGGTCAATCATTTTGATTGGCGTTTCACGTCGGAGGGTGAGCGGTCAGTCGTATACAAAAGTTCGGAATTAGTCGTCTTCGCGATACCGAAGACGCGGTATCGTTTCTCTAAGAATTATGGAGAGCTGGAGGCATTATTATGACATCGTCTACAAAATATCATCGCTTACTGGTGCATGGCCGTATATGAAGCCGGGAGCAAGGATATTTCGCGTTGCTCTACTTACCACAACCATGCTGACTATAGTCGTTCCGCAGGTAAATTGGTGTTAATACCCGAAAGAAGGATCTATCGCAAAAATGATGAAATGACAATGGTTTTAGATAGCGTATCAATTTACGTGCAAAACAGGCGTGCGATGTATGTTCGAGGCGATGACATCCTACCTGCTGACATTTGTGGCTTTACTAAAGGTGTACACGTTTCAATTAAATACCCGCACGGTACATTTCGCGATATATATTCCGAAATTAAGTACTCTGATATGTTTGATTTAAAAGTCGCAGTTAATAAAAAGAAATTTTAATATTTTTTCTTAATTTTAACATGTATTTATTATAGTTATTATACATTTCTATAAACGCCAGTATTTTATTAAAAAATTAGTATTTTAATTGATGCTTTGTCAGATCAAAGGCCTTACCCAACACTTGTTCGTCGACTGGAAGGGAGTAGAAACTCCCGAAGAATACGAGATTATGAAGTTATACGCGGAAAACAGTAGACGATTCTGTCTGGTATATGTGGGTGAGGACCGATGAGAGCAGAGATGGCTCTGTTTTGTTTCATTCTCAAAAGCTGCCCGTTTCTTTTCTTATGAATCGCTTCATACATATTGCAGTATATTGTTCAGTAGCGGTATTTACGTTTATGTCAATGTCCCTTATACCGTTCGTACTTGATGTCGTGTGGCCCCTTAACAAATCCCGTCCCGTATTACCCCCGTATCCGGGATATTATTTCGTCGACACTCGGGAATACTTCTTTAAAATCTTCTGGCATTCCATCATCGCTTGGGAAATCATTATGGCCGGAATAGTCGCCCACGATTGCATGTTTGTGACGTACGTCGAGCATGTTTGCAGCATGTTCGCCATGGTCGGGTAAGGAACTCGCGAGCTTGATGACGTAACATAATATTTCCATCAAACTTTGTATTATATATAAATAAATATAAAATAATAAAACCAAAGTTTTTTTGAAAAAGGAATTGAAAAGTTTGTCTCCAGACGAAGAGAAGAGTGTGCTGAAGTTTGCGATGACAATCTTGCTACAATTTTGCGGAAATTTTCATTTAATGATATGATTCAAATCTTTTGCACTAATCTAATATTGAAATACTTTTATAATTTATCTGGAATATGTATATCAACAAAATCGCGAGAAAGAGGGAGAGAAAGAGAGATATTGTGCAAACTATTTACAGATTCCATTTTAAAAGTCTATTTTATAATTGTGACGAAGCAATGGAGATTACGAATGATTTTAACAATACTTATCGCAAAAGAGTCGCGTTCTTCGTACACGCACACCGCGAGGCTTTAAAGTGAGTGTGTAACATCGTATTATATAAAAAAAAGAATATGACGCATCTTTCATTAAAAGATAAAAAGATTTACAGAAGGCTCCTTTCGCGTTTATTTCATTTTCCGTTTGCCATAGGTTCGCAGAACTTCTCGAAGATACCTTCACTATACCTTTCGCCATACAAATGTCGATAGCGACTGTAGGTATAAGTATTACCTTGCTGCAGGTATGTATTTATTCATGATAAAATATTATTTTCCATCACGTACAAGTTATTAAAAGATTGTATTTTTTTTTATATCAAAGATCACGCAGCAAGACGCCGATATTGTAGAATCAATCAGATACGTGTTGTACGTCATTGGTCAACTGATTCATTTATTCTTTCTCAGTTTCGAAGGACAGAAGCTAATAGATCACAGTCTTCAGACGTGCGATAAGATGTAAGGTTTGAGTTATCTACAAGAAAGAAAATATCGAATTTCATATAACGTTTTGCATCATAATTAACCATCTTCGAAACATGGCAGATACAGTAGTTCTTGGTACGAGGCGTCCATAAGATCGCAAAAGCTAATCGTGCTGGTGATGATGAAGAGCGTACGACCGAGTTTCTTGAGCGCCGGCAAGGTTTACATTTTCTCTCTGGAGAGCTTCACCACGGTAACGCGCGCACAGAACTATCCCGTGTAACGTTTGTTATGGAGCTTCCTTAACGAGACCCGACGCTTTTGTTTTAAAGGTTCTGCAAACTTCGATGTCGTACTTTACGGTGCTCGCATCCTTTCAGTAGCCCGCGTTGTTCACGCGCATCCGACGATATTCCGCGATGGCACTCGTCGAGAGAGAGCAATACTATGTGTCTTTAATACTATTACGATTATACATTTTTATTAAGTATTCTCCACTATCTTTCATTTCCCCATTAAAATTATACATTCCAGTTAATTGTATATTTTTTGAACTTACATGAATAATATATGCGTAAAAAGACGATCGTACATCGATTTTGTTAATTTTTTCGGCGCCGCAAACTGATGCCACTGTTTCCGGAATATAAAGGTCTTAAATTATTCATCGTCTGCGCGGTAACGATTGGGAGAAGTTGGAAGACGCGAAGGAATATGAAATTATGAAAACATATGTCGCAAATGCGAGACTATTGCCTTTATGTTTTCCAGTAAGGAAATCGTTGAAAGATAAATCACACGATTTTTAATTTAATGAACGACGGACGATTTTATTTCGTTTGGTTACAGTGGTGTTAATCAGTTATCGTTATATTCTTATCATATCAGCTTGCCTCCTACCTCACGTAACTGAACGTCGTATTACCTGTCAACGAGTCCCGGCCTATAATTATGCCTTACGAGGGATACTATTTCGTGGACAACGAAGAATATTTCTTCTACATTACGACTGATCGAGAGAGTGGAATTGTCGTCTAAATGTTCGCAGATTTCGTCTCGAGAGTCGAGACTATCGCGTAATGATCGCAACGATGCAGCGAATATATGACGGTCTGGACGACTGGAAAACCTACAATCGAAAAATCGCGATCCCCGTTCATGCACATTGGCGAGCTTTTGTATAGAAAAGAAAGAAAAACAAGAAATTGTCGTAAGTTTAATTGCCGCAGGTTTGCGAGGCTTGTTGGAGATACTTTTTGCATTACCTTTGCCGTGCAAATGATAATAGTTGTCACCTCTTCTAAGCTAGCAGGACCAAATCGGCAGAATCAAACCGGACCTATCAGAATATTTAGTACGCATTTTGTACTGATTTGTACCACTAATAACAATTTTGTATCCCGTGCCATTTCGGAGAAAATCGTGGCGGTGCTACCTTAGCATTAAGCTAAAAAGACCACAAGAAAAAAAAAAGAAAAAAAGAAAATTAAATACAGAAATTTGAAGGACTGAATTTGTACTACGTTATACCATACAAATAAATTTAATATATTCATCCCTTCTGATAAAAAAACAACTCACCGGCCGATGCGCAACAGCGGAGTTGTAATTCTGCGTCGATCTGTAACAAAAGAAATATTTTTATATTAAAGCTACGTCCAAGATAATCGATAGTAAATAATTATCGAAGTAAATAATTATTGCCGACACCAAAACCGTTTTTAAAACGTCATTTTAACAAATACTTATCTGATTTTAAAATGTAAGAAACAATTGCGGCCGCCGGCGCCGCAAGCGGCTGGATATTTCCGTGTTAACTAGTTCGCATAATATTAATCCGCGAAAAATTGTGCAAATAATACTGCGACCGTGCGAATAAGAGAGAGACGCGACGTTCGCGATGTAATATCTTTTCTCACATATCTCGCATACGCCGGAGATATCAGACTCGACCCGAAATTGCACCGTAGTTAAAAACCACGAAAGTGGCGGAGTCCACCACTGAACTGACAGGACGGCAAAATATAATATATAGGAAAATTAACAACTACTCACCCCACGGTCGCTCCGCCGTCGCCCGATGCCTCCCAGGAGTCCCAGGCCCCGTTCTCCTCTCCTCGATCCTCCTCCGTTGGTCCATTGTCGCACTTACTCACAACGCCGACGCGACGACGTTCACGAGCGAAAATCGACGATATCGTCTCTTATGATCGCGCGACACTAAAGGCACGGCACTCCCGGTATTAATCTCGCGAAGCGGCGCGTACTTAATTACACGGCGACAGAAAAATTACGTCGCGGTCGGAGAAACTATACGATCCGCTTGATGCTCATGACGCCGCGCGCCGTGACATCCCGCGATTCCCGCGCGCAGGTAGATACGACAAGTGAAGCGAAGGTGGCGGAGAGAATTTCGTAAATCGCGCACGGCCAACTTCACTCGCCCGGAGCAACTGTCTCGAGAACGCGATTACGCGATTACGCGAGAATGCGATATACCTCGGTATCCGTATAAATTCCTCGAAGCACATGAATTAAATGAACTTTTGATATATGTATCACAGTTTTTCGCAAGCTAAACAATCGGACCCGGCGACAGGCGAAACCCGGCGTGTATTTACTCCGCGATATATGCGATATGGGAACAGGAGCGGGGAGCGGGAATAACGAGACGTCTGACGTCAGAACAGATCACGGGCGCCGCGGTAAACATGAGTAGTGGGGATAGAGTAGGGGTAAGGTGAATACGCACGGTGCGCGGTCGCCGCCTCGCCGCTCGCCGCGGTCGGTTAGTTCAGAATGCCGGGTATACGTATCGCGTAAAGCCTACCCCTCTCTATCCCCACTGCTCATGTTACCACGGCGCCCGCGGCGGCCGCGGCCCGTTCTGATTTCTGATGTCGTTTGCTCGCGGATCGCACATCGCAGAGTAATATTACTCCGGTTGCTCCGGGCGAGTGAAGTTGGCCGTGCGCGATTTACGAAATTCTCCCACCTTCGCTTCACTTGTCATGGTCGTGTCTACCTGGCGGGAATCGCGGGATGTCACGGCGCGGCGTCATGGGCGTCAAGCGGATCGTATAGTTTCTCCGACCGCGACGTAATTCTTCTGTCGCCGTGTAATTAAGTACGCGCCGCGTCGCGAGATTAATACCGGGAGTGCCGTGCCTTTAGTGTCGCGCGATCATAAGAGACGATATCGTCGATTTTCGCTCGTGAACGTCGTCGCGCGTCGTGAGTAAGTGCGACAATGGACCAACGGAGGAGGATCGAGGAGAGGAGAACGGGGCCTGGGACTCCGGGGAGGCATCGGGCGACGGCGGAGCGACCGTGGGGTGAGTAGTTGTTAATTTTTCTATATATTATATTTTGCCGTCCTGTCAGTTCTGTGGTGGACTCCGCCACTTTCGTGGTTTTTAACTACGGTGCAATTTCGGGTCGAGTCTGATATCTCCGGCGTATGCGAGATATGTGAGAAGAGATATTACATCGCGAACGTCGCGCCTCTCTCTTATTCGCACGGTCGCAGTATTATTTGCACAATTTTTCGCGGATTAATATTATGCGAACTAGTTAACACGGAAATATCCAGCCGCTTGCGGCGCCGGCGGCCGCGATTGTTTCTTACATTTTAAAATCAGATATTTGTTAAAATGACATTTTAAAAACGGGCAATAATTATTTAACTTCGATAATTATTTACTATCGATTATCTTGGACGTAGCTTTAATATAAAAATATTTCTTTTGTTACAGATCAACGCAGAATTACAACTCCGCTGTTGCGCATCGGCCGGTGAGTTATTTTTTTAGCAGAAGGGATGAATATGTTAAGTTTATTTGTATGGTACAACGTAGTACAAATTCAGTCCTTCAAATTTCTGTATTTAATTTTCTTTTTTTCTTTTTTTTCTTGTGGTCTTTCTAGCTTAATGCTAAGGTAGCACCGCCACGATTTTCTCCGAAATGCCACGGGATACAAAATTGTTATTAGTGGTACAAATCAATACAAAATGGGTACTAAATATTCTGATAGGTCCGGTTTGATTCTGCCGATTTGGTCCTGCTAGTTTAGAAGAGGTATATAGTTGTAGCGATGAATCTTGCTGCGGAGTACGTTTTTATTTGTTGTAATTCGTTGTAATTCATACTTGCGGTATTCGTACATTTTAAGACCGTATTATGTTTCTCGAGTTTTAAGAGACTAAAGAAACTGAAATAGTGTATTTATCGTTTTCGAGATTGCGTTGGAATTTGAAGATGTTATGGTAACGGTGAAGAACTTAGCATATATCGTTAATCAACTTGTTCTGTTATAGTCTGGAAGGCTAGAAATTAATTAAGGGGGGAAGCCACTGTAACAGGCGGAAAAAAATGCTATTTTCATGAATTTTTTTTGCGAGAAAAAATAAATTTAATTAAATTGGTTCGTTATTTCTTTAAAGTACATATATTAAATAAATTGTAAAAAAAATCATTAAAAAATATTAATATTTGCGCCTTCAGCGTGTGGTGCCTCGAAACTACATTTTCGTAGCTGGGCGCTCGCATATCTCGGTCAATTTTTATCCGAATGACTTGAAATTTGAACAGAATGTTTATAACAAAATTGTCTTCAGTTCAGCGTACGGATTTTTTGATTGGACAATTAGTTTTTGAATATCTAACAATTTAAAAAGTAGCAAAATTTTCGTCTAAATCTCGATTTTTTTTAGAACTGCGCCATTTTGTTAAAAATTAATATTTCAAAAAATCCGTACGCTTAAATGAAGACAATTTTGTTATAAACATTCTCTTCAAATTTCAAGTCATTTGGATATAACAATTGACCGAGATATGAGAGCGCCCAGCTTTTTTTGCGGAGGTACACGGCACCACACGCTGAAGGCGCAAATATTAATATTTTTTAATGATTTCTTTTTACAATATATTTAATATATGTACTTTAAAAAAATGAAAAACCAATTTAATTAAATTTATTAATTCTCGCAAAAAAAAATTCATGAAAATAGCATTTATTTCCGGCCGTCACAGTGGTTTTCCCCCTTAATCACAGCGTGTAAATCCGCGACAAGATGTAAGACTCTGCATCACTTAAACCGAAACGTGCGAAACCGAAAATTTAATGGCGACTGAGACGCAGAGCTGTTGCAGATACAACTCTTTCTGGTACGAAATATCCGCGAAATCGCAAAGGCTGCTCCTGCACGTGGTGCGAAGGAGCTTGGAAGCCAAATTTTTAATTGCCAGCAAGTTATGCTTTCTTTTTAAAGAGCTTCAACATAAAGATTATTTACGAATTTTGTGCTGTTACAACGTGTTCCTTTGAAGAATCGCTCTTATTTTAAAGCTGATACAATCTTCGGTGTCGTATTTTACCGTACTTGCGTCCTTCCAATGATCAATGGTCAATATATGATTTGGGTAGTATTTCTGTGAAATCACTATTATGTTATAGTAATAGCTAGAGATTATGCAGTGGAAATAATACTTACATTTGACGGATTAATCATGAACTCGTTAGTTGCTACACTATTGAAATATCGTTGTTAAATATAATTTTAAATCTCATTGTTTCGCGGATGAAGTCATGAAAAAATTAATTATAAAGAAATAAGCAGGAATGGAAAATGGAGAAATAGGTAAGAAATCGTGATATTTATTTTAAGTGCTACGTTCATTTTTTTTGTTTGATTTTAAAAGGTAATTATTAGGCGAAGTAACAGATTTTAGTAATGGACTAGGTTTTATTTGCATCTAGAGTATATAATACATAGTAACGTCGTTAGCGCGAGCTGAGAAAACAAGTGAATTCAAATGGTTAACTGATAAAATTTGATTTTTAATGTCAAGCAAAAATCACGCATTATAAATCGTACTGACGAGCGTGTCACAACGCCCGAAATGTGTCATACTACACTTGTCAGTAAGTTCTCGAAACTATCATTATAAAAATTAAAATCGTCAAAGTTAAGCTCGAATAGAAAGAAATAAGTCTTAAATATCTTAAACATTTAACTTGATAACTTACTCACCTATATTAATAAAATCTTTTCGTGTGAGTTCCGAAAGTTGTATCGCGAAAATATTACTAACTTTCTCCGGATATTTTATAGCAATTAAAACGAAAGTCACGTTGCAGCGTCAACGTTCGGTATACCATGCCGTTTGGATATTCCGTAGGAATTTTGGGACCGTCGATCCTTTCTTTACAAATGAAAAACGTAACGAGTAGAAAAGCCGAGTTACATAGATTCGAAGATAATCCTGGCTTTTATTTCGGTTATTCGTAACGTCGAACTTGAGACCGTATGTCTTACGATTTAATGGGATATGTACGTGGATATATGCGCACGTGTATGCACAGATTCGCGTTGCACGCAAGATGAAATGTCTGTCGCGTTTTCGTCACACATCGAGCGGTGCATTTTGCTGCCCTTGTGGTGAAGATATCGTTATCTCTACGATTTACAGAAAATCTGATTTCGCTATCCAATATAACAAGATGGATCAAATATGCAGGCTTTTTAAAACCACGGTGCTTTCGAATAACAAAAAGGTTTTTTCTCCACGAAGTTCCCACCGCTCAAATGTACGCTGAAAACACGAAGGCAATGAAGAGAGACGGCCTTCCTCTTAGCTTCTTTCAAAGATAAAAACGGCACCTATCGCTCTCGAATCTACCAGATACACATCGGCGCCTGTATAATGCCCTTGTCACATGATCTTTCTTTCGTTCCTCTATAATTATTGTAGTAGTATTGTCTGTTTCTCGACTGCCGCGCGTTCGTTTCTATTACTCTAACGCTTAGGCGATCGTACGATCGTGATAAAGTGACGTTAGAAAAGATCGTGACGATCTGGCTTGGATACATTAGTTTCACGTTGCGATTGTATGAATGTATATAACTGTCAATAATATGTATATACATATTTCCATGTACGTTACGTCCGACACTTGCTAATTATTCGTGGTTTACATGTATAGTGTATCTTTATATATTATGTATTATCGCGTGGTACACAGTATACGATATCCGTATGTATATGTATGTGTATATATATATCTACTCTCTCTATATATTATATATATATATATATATATATATATATATATGTTGTATATTTATATAACTCTGGGTACAAATAATGCTTACAAAAATATTAATTTGGGAAGGCAAACTTTCAATTATAAGTCCATTAGTCTCGAAATACTCACGAATGTAACAATAACAGTGGCCGATTTTATCTACAATACCGAAATCATAGGGAAACAGCCGTCCGCGTCTCTCTAACTCAACACAAGTCTCCGCGTGCTAATTCGCTTCCCTTCTCGGAGTACAGCCACCCTAAAATCTCAAACTAATCATTATTTTTCAAATATCTTGAAATTCCACCCCCCCCCTTCGATGTTGTATTCTCTCAGTTTTTTCTCTGTTTTTCCTCTTTATTTTCTTTTTTTTGACACTTTCCTGGATCAAGTTAGCAGTCGCCAGGAACAGCAGTAACAATAAGTTACTATAATTGTTATCGTACACTACTTACAAATTTTACTTACAAACTCGCGTATCCTAGCGTACTATCTTGCTAAATCTTTTGGTAAATTCGACGCCAAAGAGGACTCTGACACGATCAGTGATTACCTTCGGTATTTCTGAATATCATTAACGGTTGACTGCAAAGATATCATATCGTAACAAATAATGATCGATATGACAGAAATATGTACGAAGACAATATACGAATGAGATATCGATATCTTGGACGATCTACTGATATGCCGATAATAATTCTGATCGCACGAGAGCTCCGATTACGCCACGCCGCAAACACTGACAGTTTTAATAATTATCCTAACTGCGTTATCGATTATAACATCGTCGTTAGACCGAAAAAGGAAGACTCTTGTGACGTTTTTCACTTCCCGCTCTGTGGACGCTTAACCCTCTCGTCTCTCGAATTATTCATCGATCAGAACGATAAGAATAAGAATCGTTTGCACGAAACCTTTTAATCACGTTCGCCGAACTTGGCGAAAGTACTTCCGTACGACGCAATCGCGTGGATTTAATTAGAAGTTTCATTCGTTGTATCAGTAACATCTCGCGAGTTACGTGTATTATATGAAATTACTACATATCGTGCAATGTTTCGAACGAAATCAGCAAATATTTTATATCACTGAAAATTAGACGAAGAGATTCATCAGCTGGTATCTTTGAAAAAACAAATCTCCGTGTCGTGTGTTAACGGGATTTGCGAGAATAATTAAAATTCAATTGTTAAGTCATTAAAAAATTGATTGCTAAAATCTCTTAAAATTTTCGTACGATGACATAATTAAAACCGCAAATGCGCGCTTGCACAGTAAAGAAATGAATAATCGGAAAATTAATTATAAGCATAATAACCTACAGATAATACGCCGTAGAAGATGCGTTGCAATTATGCGTGTTATGTACAAATTTGTTATTCTTCACTTTTACAATAAAAGGAGGAAATAAAAACATCATTGGGATTCGTTTGAATAAAAATTTCTCCCAACCGTAACTTGCGGAAACCTTCGCGATCGTATTGCCTGAGACGATCGGGTTAAACGTTGAGAAATTCGGTGTCTATCCTAACGATTCCGCCTAGTGCTTTGGTGAAAGCTATCCTGGGCCCTGATGCGTCGCGCGGCGTCCAAGTCCTGGACCGTCGGCCTTCCTCACAATCTCTCTACATAGTTGCCCGGGAAGGTGCCGAAGTAACCGGTCCTTTGGCTGGAGCCGACGTACCATCCGTCGTCGCACTTCTCCATTACGTACACCGTGTCACCCTCCTTTAGCTCGAGCTCGTCGTCGTTCTGCGGTTTGTAATTGTACAGCGCCCGATATCTGTCGAAATGCAAGCATCGTTAAAATATACCTCTTCTTACCACGAATTACTGGCGCGCGAATGAGAAGACAACGGAACAAATTTATCGAAGCGCACAAAAAGATTGTTAATGCATTCCGCGAAACACCGACGATCCACGCTGAACTTTCAGTTCAGACCGCTTGTTACATTATAACTATAAAAAAAAACACGATCATAAAATACCTTTTAAAATTACAAATTCCTACGTAATTATTGTGTATACAGTGCAATTTTGGTCATCGATAAGCGGTGACCAGTTTTTGTGATCATGTATTTTATAAGTATTATTATGAAACACATGTTATTTAACAAGTATAATAAACGTAGGTCATCGGTGATCCAGGAGGCGCGGATGGCAAATCACGTAAATTTAGTGTGTAAGTTTTCGTTCAAACGCATTTGCAGGACTCACGGTATCGGCTCCGAGTGCGTGTCGATGTGCAGGGTTTCGCTGAGTTGCGACACGTGCAGCTTGCTCCCCCCCATACGTGGCTGTAAAATACGAAAAGGGCTGTTACTTTGGCGTGTACTTTGTAAAACGTTTTCGCTTTATTAAAACTGTCTCTTTCAACGAAAATAGCCATTATCCGACGGTGTAATGAAACGTTACGGGGAAGATTCAATCACGCCGCGAAGTAATTATGCCACGACACGAGATAGTTACCAGTGAATTATAATGGGGCTGGGTTGTGTTGATATTGACCGGGATGGACGGCACGTAATGATGGGGTCCCATACTCATTTTCCCTCCGGACGAGCCGTTCGCTAAGAGACTGTGCGCCGCCGGAGACGCGACCGGTTTGTTCTGAATCGGTGTCTCTGAAATAAATGCAAACTCCGTATGAATTTCGTCAATTCGACGAGAAGTTTGACTCGCGATGCTTTCGACATCGCTCTTGAGTCAGGTTTTCTATTTTCTTCTAATCCGGCTTCCCCGGCTCAAATTACCTGATCGATGTCCGGGTTCGGTGAGGACTTCAACGTAAGAAATCGGGAAGATCCCCTTTCTGTTTCCTATACGTCCCTCGTACCAATTTTCGTCGACCCTCCTCGTCAAGACCACCAATTCGCCTGCGGACAAGTCACAGACATACCGAAAAGTAATTTACATGTTTTGCCTCGAAGTTTACGAAATTCTACTCGCAACGGCCGCGGCGCGCGGCGGTCTCTTACCTTTCGCCAAGGACAACTCGAGATTGGTCTGGGCGATAAAGTTGAACTTGGCCCGTGCCTGTCCCTCGTGGGCCTTCTTTGGTGTCGTTCGCATCGTACCGTCGTACGGCAGAATCTGTATCGAGTAAAGTTTTTTTTAGAGCTTGATAAAAGCGCAATTTTGTCAGCGAGTATCCAACTCTCGCTTTTCGCGTCGACGCGTTAAAAATCTTAGACTCGACTACGGCAATTACCTCAACGTAGTTCGAGGGGAACAGTCCGATCATCGCGTTGTACTCCCCCTCGTACCAATTCTTGTCTACCTGTCGTCGAACGAATATGAGGTCGCCGCGCCGGAAGGTCAATTCCCGGGACGACTGGCCGACGAAATTGTAGAGCGCTCTCGCCACCAGCCGCGGCTCCGGTGTTTGATCTTGGGATCGACTCCGCTGGCTCAGATCGTCCACGAAATCGTCGTAGCGATTCAGGGGTATGGGCGACTTCTGCGATGGTCTGAAATTGTTGGAGTGTTGTCGGCGAGATGGAACGGTTTCTCTCGAGCGCGGCGAACCAGGATTGTCTTTCCGTTTGCTCCGAGCAAACGCTAACTCTCCTCGGCATTGTGATGATTATCGAACGTTTGCGGTTGCGAAATGCGCCTCGGAAGAGAATGTAAATTTATTCTTTTCGATATTCTCTCCGTTCTTTCTCGAGGATTGATAGATCCGGCCAATATATTTTAGAGTCAGATAATCGACGATCTTAATTGAAGATTATGACGGAGTAATCTTAATTGAGACCGAAATATCTTTTCGATCGACTTTCAACTCAAGAACTTTCTATTTCGCTTGAGAAAATCTAGGACTACCTGACATCCTTCCCCGAGCGTCAATGAAACCTCTCTCTCTCGGTTTTTCTACCTGCGCGCGTTCGCCTACACTTTCATTGTGACGCCCGCGTCAAAACAGCTCGCAAGGCGTTACGCAACGGCCGTTTGAATAGCAGGAAGTGTTTACGAGCCGACGACGAGTGTGACAAGCTGAAGATGCACATGCCTTTCGCCGTCCCGTTATTAACGTCATCTTTGAAAATATCACTCTTGCGTTTGGAGAACACGGAAAAGCGCGGAAAGACATCGCGAGAAGGATACGCGATCCTTGCGACAGGACATCGTTAAAGCGAGGACTCTCGTTTCTTCATTAACGAAGGTAATTTCCGAAGTTTGAAAAGACAAAGCGATCAAACTTCGATTCGATCCCATTCGGTCACCTCCCGATTTAAAAGGATTTAAAGAGGAAAATGGGAGAGAGAGAGACACCTTGTACTTACATAAAGTTATCTGTGTGCCTGCGGGAGTCGATGTCGTGCAACTCCTGGAGGTACTTGCGACGGCGCTCCTCCTGGTAGACGCGCCGCATGTTCTCCGCGCTGCGACGTGCGAGCTCCTCCTCGCTCAGCGGCTCCTTCGCCTCTGTACGCACCGGCGAGCGATAGTGAATCGTCACCTCACCCTCCACATAACGCCTCGGCGATTCTGCATCAAGCGAGACGCGTTTATCGTCACCGATCCGCAAACGGAACGCAAACGGACGCGTGGCGTTCCGACCGTCAGAATTTTTTCGGTATCCTATTTTTCTCTCGATACGTGTATGTATTTTGCGCAAATTTTATTCCGGTTCGATTTGATCTTGACCTGTCCGTGTCACGCGCGACAAGATGCGACGCGAGAGAGTGTTGTTAATTTCGATTTAAATTATTCGATTGATGGGAGCAGCGTTTTATTGGAGGGCGCGGTTTGAAAACGCGTGCTATTTCATCGAGTCAATCGTCGTCGTCAACCGCTCCAGTGGACCCTGTCGTTTATTAAAAATGATGGCGAACGTTCGACGTCGATCGCAGATTCACAATTCGGAGCTGTTCGCGCGGCAGCCTGGCCGAAGTATCAAATACGATCGTACATATTGAGAATAAAATCAAATTGTCGAGATCACATTCGTGGAAAATGGGATTTCAGTACTCCGGCGTCTTTAGCGTTTGACGACGTTCAAGTCCGACGGTTATTGGGGCGTGCGACGATCATATCCAGCCAGATAATATCACGGAGAAGAATTGAATCATATATGAAAGGCGCCGGTTTAACCCACATCGAGGCCGTCGCTTGTTTATCTCATTCCGCTGGCTAGAACATATGGCTTCTTCGCGGAGAGAAACGATACTTAAGACCGCGGTCGTCGACCGGCGCGCGGCGCGAGGCAAAAATCTAGATACGGTGTATGAACATCAGTTCATGTAATGCTCGATTACATTTGATTACGCGCACGTGATAATTGGCACGGATAAATGTAAAATACAGCAAAGCAAGTCTATTACACCGATATGTGCGAAATTATAACGGCTGTTGTTATCCATGAACATGTAGAGGCCTCTCGTTGGATGTTCTTCTATGTCAGTGGCTTTGCGCACTTACAGCCGATTATTGTTTATCTATGCAAAAACACGTAACAACCAACGACCGTATATCGATTCGCGTTACGAATTTTTTTCTCTCTGTTTCTCTTTCTTTCTCCAAGCTGATCCCTCAAGAGCACGTTTAATAAACTAGGAAGCTCCGTATTTTAGACGCGAGCACAAAAGCGCGGTGCACGCACCTGCTTTCGTGCGCTGCGCGGGATAATGACGATAGTTTATCGCGATGCAGCGGCAACAGCAGAGCACGCGCGTACGCGCCCGGCACAATGCGTGCTCGCGTGCGTCGGGCTGCAGCGAGACCGTGCGACTGATAAGGCGGAATGCAGCTATGCAGCTTGCAACCGGTCAATTCGCGCGATAAAGCGCAGCCGCGGTGACACAGGTCGACGCGAGATGCATCGCGAGAGAGCGAACCCGTTGACACGCAACGTAGCCTTTCGGGGTTTTAGTCGCGCGCGAGGCATTTATTTTTCATCCCGGATAACCGGAAAATCATATCGCGATGTGTCACGAGAGAAAAATGTCACGAGTCACCGTGCGAAGGTAAGAAGATAAATCAGACACGACGGAATAAAAATTTAAAAAAAAAATCTCAGATTGGATCTCTCGGAAACTTTCGTTCTTCTCTAGTGAAACCTCGCTGGATCCTCCCGACCACTTTGTTTCGTGCCGTCATTACTCGTGTAACCCAATTTGTTAGCGTGTAACGTTAAACTCATCACAAATGCCGAAACGAGAGACTGAATTTCAGTCTTTCTCTCTCTCAGAACGCCGCAACACCTTTCACCGCTTTCATCGAACGAGATTCTCACGCGATCGATTCTTTCTCTTTCTCTCTCTTTCTCGCGCGTATCCTGTGCCACAATTATTATTATTTTTTTTTACGGTACCTTATTATTCTTTATCTGATTCTCTCCTCCGTGTAATTTAATTCTATTTTACCGTTCTACTCTCGACGCATTTTTAAAGTCTTTCGCGGATTATGGCGAGCTTTTCGCCATTATGACAATTTGTTATTTGTGTCGAAGTTAATTATTTTTTAAGATAAAATGCAAACATTAACATTTTTTTAATTTTATTAAACGATTTTTCATATAGCACGAATTGATTTAACATATCTGCGTGACTTCTTTATCGAGTTGATTCTGCTGTAATTTAATCATGTTAAAAGTTTTCTGACTTAAAACAACATTTCGAAAGGGTCCCGCTACTCTACCTAATTGGTACCTTGATTCTACCTATTTCTATTTTTCTTCTCCTCAATCATCGCGCCAGCGACACCAGCCAGCGCCAGCTGGATATGCCGTGGCGATCCTAACGGGGCGCGCGGCTATTTACGCGCGGCAGGAAGAGCATTATTTCAGGAAAATTATGCGCATGTTTACTGACTGTACGGAATCGGTCCGTAGACCGTAGACGGAAGCGCGCTTCCGCCGGTGTGAAGACCGCCAATCGGATTCATTTGATCGAACAAAGGGCTGCTGGTGGCTCGGTCACGGCGGCGGGCATCAGGGTCAATCGGAAGCGTCCCGATCGAAGCAGGATCTGCTCCCCGTAGATCGCCCGTGGAGCTCTTGCAATTGTTGACAAGCTGGGGCGACAGCAGCTCGTCGGACAACGAGAGATCGCCGAAGGATTTGTACTGAAGTCCGGACGATTTCCGTCGTCTTCTGCCGGGGTCTTTTCCGCGCGGCTCGTCGTTTCCCGGATTTTCATCCGTGATCCTCGACATATTATCTCGGACGACGTTAACAGCTCGTCCGTTCTCGGCGACGGTCAGCAGATCTTTCACGTGATCCTCGTGACTGTGCAAAATCGCCACGTCGACGCTATAATCGTTCAGATACTTCCTCTCGTTCGCCTCCATGCATTCGCATCGCTCGTTTACCGTGCTCAGGTCCAAGGGAGGAGGAATCCTCACCGCCTTGACCTCTCGCCGTGAGTTCAAACGATTGGGCGAGACCGGTACGTCCGTCGTCGATTTGGATGTCGATTGTCCGCGGTTGATCGAGCGTGTCCGATCTACAATCTCCTCGCACCGTCCCGATTGTTGTTCCCGGCGTTGCTCGACGCGACTCGATCTTACGACACGAGGCTCGAGCTCGTGACGATCCGACGATCCGAGCGATTCGAGTCCCTCGGGAACATTGACCGCTCGGGCAACGTAAAGCGGAGCGTCGAGGTTCCGCTTCAGGACCGTCAGATTCGGCAAAGACCTGCAAAGGTCCCAGCAAGTCCCGTCGTTGCTCCTCGACACGCTCGTCTCGCTAATGTTCGCCGAAATAGAGTCTGATCGTCCGTGATAACTACGAATCATCTGAGAACGAACCTTGTTTTGAGAGAATTGATCCCCTTCGAACTTATCCTTCCGCGTCGGTCGATTTTTCGCGTCGTCCGTGTTGTCGCGGTGTCCGCTTTCATCCGGCGAATCCCAGCCTTTTTTTCGAGTCTCGAAATCGATCTTCGAAGCGTCGCCGAAGATGTACTCCGGAAGATTCCTCTCTCGGCGCCACGCATCGGGACTAATCGCGTTCTCCTCGATGCGGCATTGACACGATTTGTCGCGCATCCCTCTCTCGCTCGTCGCGTCCCGAAATCCAGCCTCCTCGACGATCGACGAACCCTCGCTCCGTTCATTACTCGCCTCATCGAGCTTAACGGCCGGTACGTTCCTCACGTCGGCTCGTCTTATCTCGCTTCCGGGTAAGATGTTGACGAGCACCCTGCCGTCTCTTCGAGCGCGACCGCCGTTCCTGCGATTGATGACTCGAGACAAGTTCCTCCTGGCAAACTCGGTTAACGTGTCCATCTCTTCCTCCTCCTCCTCCGGAGTGCGTGTCGTCTGTGCCCGCGACTTCCGCTCGTTTATACTGCTCACGGATGATTGATTGCTCTGGCTGGTGAGCGTCTCGGTGCTGCCGAACCCGGTGCAGCGCTTCGGCGCCTCTTGGCTGTTTCTCCCGACGTTCCCGGCGAGACCTCCGTCGCAATTCTGCCGCGCGTTCCCCGGCATATCGGCGAAGAACTGTCGCCGGAGATACCGGTTGTGCTCGAAGATTTCGTGCAGCCGTTCCCTGCTGTCGCTGAAGTGCTCCTTCTCGAGTCCCTCGGGATATCGCGCGGCGGGACTTCCGGTGGAACGTCGCGTCTCCTGCAGGCAGCCCCGATCCCTCGGGGCTGACTCGTGCGAGACGGGCTCGAGACATTTTCCCGGATCACCGCAGTAATAGTCCTTGTAATCTTTGTAAAAGTACTCCCTCTCGAAATCCGTTCGCGGCTTCCAGCTCCACCGGGAGTTGACCGGTTCGGGATAATCCCTTCGCGAGGGCGTGTCGCGATCATCCTCAAAATGCACCGTGCACGCCCGTTGCATTTCCGGCATGGATATCCGCTGATAGGCGTGCCTCTCGATCCGCGCGTCTCGTTTGTCGCGTCGGACCACCGCCAGCCTGTCCGGATGACGGAGTTTCACCAGATCGTCGATGTCGTTCGCCAGGCTGGTCCATTCTGCACTGCGCTCCAAGTCCGCGACGCGCGGCAAGATCGTCCGAGTTCCCGCTTCGTTCACCGTGTTCCTCATCGTGAGAACGATGACGACGCGCGAATGTCAAGTCCGATTCGTCGCGGGTATTCTCAGGAGATAATTAAAGCCCTCGGTATCCGCGCGACACGTTCATCAGACTCTGTATCTCATCCCCCGATCCCGTTGTCTTCCTCAAATCAACTTTACGCCTCGTTACCGAGCGGAAATCGTGGTCAGATCGAGCTGCATATTAATCCCCGTCAGATAAAGATCGAGGACGATCCCTCGCCGCGCCGGATATTGCTCAAAATCTCTGATCGACGATCGTGATCCTCGTGAAATTAATCGCGCGGTTACTAACGGGAATGGAAAGCGCGACTCCCCCGCGTTGGGCAACCGGCTCTTGGCGACGACGCGCAACCGCGAGTGAAGAAACTCGATTTGTTGTTGTCACCGGGGCGATGACTCGCGACTCGCGATCCTCTATTCAACGTGGCCGATGTCATGTCCGACCGCGCTTCTACGTCAGTTTCGGCATTAAGAGCCGCGTCGTCGTAACGGTGACTCGTCCGCGAACGGATGTGCAACGCGAGCTGCAACGTCGGCTACCTATCAAGGTTGAAACGATCGCGTCACGTTTCCCCGGTGTGCCAATGCTCGTATTCGTATCCGAGATATTTTCAATATCGTACAATAGAATGAAAGTACGATTAATGTTGCTTTTATCCTGTGATTGTATTAATTATATGAATTTTACTATTTTAATTTTAATTTAATTTTAATATACATTTTAATATACATTTCGTACAAAATTGAGTGTAAGTTTATATCAAAATGTTTTCTTATTATACAAGATATATTATATAAGTCATTGATCTTCAAAAATCACAAAACTTAAAGAGAAGTTACATTATTGGTGCGAAAAAATTTTATGAAAGAGTCTAGCTCTACGATCTATAACGGAAGTATTCTAATATTATATCTAATATGTGTAATTTAGATATCGACGTTGCAATCACGTCGATACATAGATGTAATTTCGTTTGCGATAATTCTGATATAACCGTCGCTATCGTTTCTCTCCCATTCAAGATAAGCAAGAACAAACTTTCAATGAAAGTCCTAATGTTACTCATCATGTCCCGTGAAACGTGGCGTTATTCCGAGCGACGTAATGACGTTGACTCATTAAACCACAGACCTAGTAATGTGTAATTAACGAGAATGAACGTGGGTTTCTGTGAAACTTTCGCGCGCTGTCGTGGCGCTACACGAAAAAATGTCCCGAAGAATACGCCGTTTAAGGAAAACCGTGTTAGAAGATCGAGCGAGAACATTCACAGGCTATGGAGAGAAGCGTCTCCTTATTAAAATCGACCCCTCCTCCTTTCCCCCCCCTCGTAAAGTCTTAAGTGTCTTAATGAAGCGCATCTGTTTGTTGTACCGACGAGCGGGAGTAAAATCTTTCCCTGAGAAAGGTGCTACTTGCACTCTCATGGCTATTCTATTCAAATGAGTCTCCGGCGCAATGTGGATCAACGCATTCACGAGGAAGAAGGTGCCGTGTCGGTCCTTTCTTTCAATGAGAACGATTTCACTGACAAAGTGTCGCGACTTATTTCTACCTCGCCGCGGCAGTTCCGCTTAACTATCCTTTAAAAGTTTCGAGATCGCTCTTATCGGACTCGACTCTCTGCGGGTAATTAAATACGACTTTAATTTTGAACCGAGTATTCTCGCATTTCATCCGGTCACCGAAACTCGCGGCCGCGTGCGAATTTCGAGTTTCCAACAGGCCTGATAAACGTGTCGTTCAAAGTCCGCTCTTGTTTTCGCCGCGATAAAACGAACGAAACCCGGTAATATTAAATGACCTTGCACGAAATACACATAATACGTACTTAATCAATTCACACGGAATTCACCTCGGCGCGAAAACTTCCGTTAAACGGGCCCGCACGAACTGCCGATTAAACTGTCGATGATCAATCGCGCACCGATAACTCCGCGAGATTGACTTATCGAGCAGTGTGCCTTGAGGAAGGAACTCTCGTTAAGATCGGTCGAATCGTCTTGCACTCGCGTAACGACGTGCCTCGTCGACACCTGTTATCGGTATACCTGCGTCGCGCGACGCACGCGAAACGCGTCTGAGGAAGGCGCCGCGACGTTGGCACCGGTTATCGCGGCTCCCTACTCCTTGAAGAACGGTTCACCAAGCAGGAACCGCGGGGAACGTCTTCGAGCGGAGTGCGCTCGCGTAAGTTTCCAACGATTCGGACCGAAACCAAGGCTCCTCGAAATATTTTCGGACGCCAGAGCCCAACGATTAATTCTCACGCAGAGACGACGTTTCTCCGTGCGGAAATAAAATCTTGAATTATTCCTGCCAAACGCAGTCGCGTAACGTTTGTAGGAGAACTCGATAAGTAAACGTCATTTCTTCGAGTCGTTATCCGCAAAAATAAATACGAGTCGTCGTACTAAAAGGCGTTCAAGGCCGCTGACAAAAGCGGCGTTGTTTCCTCGCGTGCGATATGAGCGCATCGCGGACTGTAATAACAGTGTTGTTTTGCGCGCTAATCACTTTCCAGAGCGCGCGGTAATTATTCACGACGCCGATGGTATTAATCTTCACGCTCGTATCACTTCTCCGTGGGTTCGGAGAACGGCGTATTACGGACTCCATCACCTGGTATCGTCGCCGATGAAACTGCCGAAGAGCAGGGGAACGCACACGTACATTAATCATTGGAGAGATTAGATAAGAGGGGACGATCGAGACGAGCGTCCACGTCTGCAGCAAATATTTGGAATAACAACGACTCGACGATCTATCGAGGATTTCGTCGCAATGCCGAAGACGCGAGCCGATCACGCGAGCTTGCGATTAACTATGCTAATTGCGTTACGTAACGACAATGACAATTATGCGCGGCGGTCCGAATTTATGGCGCGACATTAAACAAAGTATGTGGACATCGCGACTGCTTCGGGATCGCCGCTGTGATCATCGTCGAAAATAATCGTGACCGCCACTTGTAAAATTGTGCCAATTTTAGCGGCACGTAATAGCGCGTATGCGGCATGATCTAACGTTAGGCGATACGATCAAAGTCATTAATATTAAATTTGCCGAGACTTTTGCGCTTTTCCTGTCTCGAGATCGCAAGTCGTGTTTCGTAACGGTCAAACGAACGACTTTTAGATAACTTTTCTGATCGATGTAACATCACAAATGAGAAAATTAAGCCGTTTATTATTTTAAAAAATTCTACTTTTACTCGAAATAACACATTTAAATGAATTACGTATCTTTGCGCGTCACACATGCATTGTGCTTCGTGGCATTCGCGTGTAAATTGAACGTCAGTCCGTTCACTGTTATCTTTCCGTTAGACAATTAGTATGCGCGACCACTGTTTAGCGGAGCCGCGAATGTGCCCTTGACATCGTAAAACTGATGAAATGATTTAGGATCTGTCTCTCTGATATCTCGATACGCGCAATTATACCGTCGAGAGTGATTTCCGGGCTGGCGATAACACGTCGATTACACGAATTGATCGGCAGGCCGAACATATATAATCGGTCGATCACGTAATGGACCACAAATGCAGGTGTCTCTTTTGTCCACGTCGAACATTGCCATCACTTTTATCCTGGATCCATCGTATTTCCCGATTACCCATTTCCCCCTTTTTATGCAATATAAAACGCAATATATTTTTAAATATGTACTTCCGTCAGACTGTTATCTTCTTATCTATATAACACACGCAATTAATTAATTCGTCGTTTCACTTTCCAGCCATCATAACAGCTATCGTGATTAAAAACATTCTGGATATTTTACACATAAAAAAACTGCGAAAATATTTTAATTAACTAAGCGGTTTAATTTTACGTTCAATCTTTCTGAAAAATGATAAAATATACAGATATCTCTAACGTCATGCAGTGACGCATTCAACATTGACGTTTCACGTGCTGCTTTTCGATCTCGCGCATCCACAGGAAAGCACAAGCGAGCACGATGCGAGTTAATATCAAATTTCTAATCGGGGCTGCCACGGCGAGCGACTCGCCGCGGTGATTTCTCCATATGCGAAAGTGTATATTATTTTCGGCGCGTCTCGCGTCGGTGACTTATGACTCGAGTCGGACCGTGACTCCAGACCGAGCGAACAAGCGCGAACGAACGTGAATGAACAGCTTGCTTTAACGAGCGTGATGCCATGCCGTTTGCGCTCATTGATGCGGGCTGCCTGCGCTCATTTGCTCGAACTGGACCCCCCAGTATTATGCGAACATGCGGATACAACGAAGCCGCGTAATGATACCAGCCGGATGAGCACCGGCGTGTTTCCCGACCGACCGCGCGGTTATTGCGCTTATGCTCGATCGCCCGTGCAAACGTTCGTTGCACAATCTCTCTCTTTCCCGAGCACGCGTCGCTCATGCATCCCGAGTCACATGCACCACGATGCATCATCACGACCGCGCGTTTAGCAAGTGCCCGCATCGGCTACGTGCGCGAACTTTAATGGCACTAGATCGATCCTGGAGGGCCTTAAATCACGAGATATATGCATTTCGAGGAGATTTAGGTATTTCCTCTTTTATCTTCCGCCTTCGCTAAGTTTAGGATTAGAAGTGTGAGAGTTGAATCTAAGAGGAACATAGAAGCGATTCGTTATAATTATTTATATTGTTAGCAGCATGACTTTCAAACAAAATTATCTCCAGATAAAAAACCGTCCGTTTGGTTAATAATACGTTTAGTTGGAAACCAGAGTGCCAGATGTTACGAGACACCCGGCAGGGCGAACCGTGACACGCGCGTGAACGCACACATGAACAGACGCACACATTAACACACAAGAAAAAATAATATATACATAATAATGATGAGCTTAGTAATCGGCATTACCTTGGCGATCGTCCCTGTAGTGCTGGGATTTTGGCGGCGGCGGGGGTGCATTCGAGTATTCTATGGACGAGCGGAAAAAAATTAAAATAATAATTAGCCGTTCTACACAGCTATAACGAAAATCATATCGCGGGATTCAACGAGGGATCGCACACACGTTGCCGAGCGAACCTGTCGATCAACTTGACGCACGTTCTTCTCTAACATCTAAACGATATTGGTGCCACGAGAAGCGATAATGACTCTTCAATCCGACTGCGCGAATTTAACGAACTTAAACTCTACTTTCTTAATCAACAGAAAAAAAAAAACTTGGATTTATTTCTAAAGACACAGAGAAATTTTCTCAGGTTCTCCTTCCCGCTTCTGGTATCTAGGAAGACTCAATCCAGCCTAGGTGCTCCAAACGGCTGATGAAATTTCAGACCTTCGAAGGTGACGGTAGGTCGCGCCATGTAGACAGGCAGGGTCGGCCACCAGGTTCTGTGCCTTCGTGCGGCGGTGGGCGAAGGCGGCGGAGGCGGCGGTTGGTACCTGAACCTCGGTCTGTGTTTGTCAGGGTCGAAGGGCTGCCCGGCGAAGACAGTCTGCTGCGACGGTTTGAGGATCGACGCGGGGGTCGTGCGCGGACGCGTCGGAGACGAGGAGGTGGCGCGCGGTCGTTCCGGTTTTCTCTTGTCGGCCGACGAGGAGGAACGAGTCTTCGAGGTGCCCCGGTGGCTCCGGAGGTCTGCCGGCGACGACAGCGAGCGCATGTTGTCGCGACGATTGGGGTACTGGTGCGCCACCCACTTTCCGGCCAGGTAGGGCGCGATGTCGCGAAGCTCGCGCACGTCCGGCGCCGACGTGAACATCTCACCCATTATGGAAGTTCGGCCACCAGCGGTGTCCGGGGATTCAAACCTCTTCCGCATCCGGCAGACCGGCCTCTTCGCCTCGAGCTCCTTGGTCTCCGCTTGCCTGGTCACGTGGTTGGTGACGGTACCGGTGACTTGGGGCTCCTTCAGTCCGACAGTCTTGCTGATGACGTCGATGTGCGGCATCGAGAGGTTCTCCCGGCGCAGCGGCACCCGCGGGATCGGCGGCGAGTCGCCCCTTCGTCCTATCCGCGGCCGTCCTCTCTTTGTCGTCTCGAATCTCCTGCGCAGCCACGCCACGTCGACATGTTCGTGCGGCTTCAAGGCGCTGCCGCGGTCTTCTCCCTCGGTCGTTCTCTTCAGCAAGCTCCGCGCCAATTCCGGATCGCTGCGAAAGCGCTTCGGCGTGGCCACGATCCTGACGCGCCGCGGCAGGTCCTCGGCGCTCTCGAATCTCGCGCGCAACCTCCGCACCGTGCCGTTCCGCACCAAGTTAAGGTAGGCGCGCCAGTACTTCTCGGGATCCGGCGACGAACTGCGCGGCCAACCGATACCGCCGCCGCTGTCCACACTGCAGGACGAGTTCGATCGCGTGGTCGCGCGACACGGACTAACGCTGCGCGGCCTCGCGTCGTGTTCACGCTCCCGTGAACAGGAGCGGAACGGTCGTCGTTGCTGTCGCATGCCCGTCGCTTCCGGCTGCGTCGGCGAGCTGCCGTCGATCTTCCGCTCCCGCGGCGACGTTGATCGCGATCGATCAAGCCTGCCGGCGGCGGCGGCGCCGGCCAGTGAACCGTACTTGGCCGACTCGGTCTCGCCGAAGAGCTCCTTCAGATCAGCGAAGCTTTGCGACGACGGCAGCTTCTTTCTGCCGCGAAACGTCCACGTCGTAGTCGTCGCCGTCGTCGTCGCTGTCGCCGTCGGCGCGATCTCCTTCTGTTGGTCTCCTCTCTTCTCCACGTTCTCGAAGAACTCGATCTTCCGCGACACGTCCTCCGTCTCGGGTCCGTTGCCCCGCTGGATAACCGTTCTTACCGAGGTCTCTGAGCTCTCCGTCATGCTGTCTCCATCGCTGCCCGAGGCGAACTTGCTGCTCAATTTTGCTTTCTCGCCCGGCACCGTCATGGCCAACAAGGGCGGCTTCTTCGACCACTCTTCGAGTACAGTCACCACGCGTTGCTTGTCGCTGGAGCTCTCGTTATTGGACGTCAACACCAGCAGAAAGTCGCTTTTGTCTTTAGGTTTGGTTGTGTCCTCAATGTACGACGCTTCGAGGGAATAACAGGTCCTGGGAGAAGTGCTAGCCACGCTGGGCGTGTCGGGCGCACAAGTCGGCCTCGCAATATTCTTCGCGGATGGTTTTCCCGGTATCTTCGTGGCCGCCAAGGCAGCGGCGATGCTCCCGCGAGTTTCGCGAGGCGCTAGAGGCGCGGACAGTCTTCTTCGCGTCATCCTGTCCAGCACTTCTTTGCCGAGAGTCAATGACAGCCTCTTCTTCTCCAGCTCCGACATCGATGGAGAGACCGATCTCTCCGATTCGGACCTCTCGAGGCCCTTTAAACGACCAATGGAGTCGCTTTTCTTCAAGATGCCCTCAGCATCGCCTTGTTCCTTCAATATCGCCGACTCTGACGCTATCATCGAATGGCATCGTACGTGGAGACTCTTCGAATCATCTTGGGGATGATCCTTGGAATCGCCCGCAGGCGGCACGATGATTTCGTAGCTCGTTAAAGTTTCGTCTTTGACCACGCGATCTTCCTTAACAGATTGCTGATACTCGCTGATCTCGCGAGGTGCATCAACGACGTCGCCATTTCGTCTTTGAGGATTATCGCTACCGTATATTTCGTTTAGCTGCTTCTTCAGGTTGGTCACTTGCTCGATGGACAAGCTGCTCCAGAACTTCTTGCTACCACCGAGACTTCTCTGCAGAGATGGATGGTAATCCGCGAATTTTCCAGCATCCCGAAAAGTGGCGTTGGCTTTCTTCTGCATCGTGGTCGCCACGTTGACGACCGAACTGCCGCGCCAGAGAGGTTTATAAGTATCCTTCTGTGAGACAGCTCTTTTCTTGAAGGATTCCAACTCGCTCTCCTCGCTCTGGAGTCTCCGAAAATACTGCAAGATGTCCTCCACGGAGCGTTCCTTGCAGCGCAGTCCACAATCGCCGTGCCACTTGAATTTATCGACGTCTTTCGCGCTGAAAAGAAAATCCTTGTCACGTTGGACGCTCTTCAGTTTCCCGTAGAGTGCCTTTAACTCCTGTTCCGCTTTCTCTTTCGATCTGATCTGTTTCCAGCGATCGTAATCGATGATCTCTTCGTTCTTCAGCCGCGGCCGTAGATCCCCGGAGGAGAACGTGCGCTCCAGCTGGTCCATCCTGCTGAGGTTCGCGTAGAAGTCGCGCAGATCCTTGTATCGTTTCGACTTACGCCTGTGATGCAGCAATTCGAGTATATATTGCTGATAATCCTCGCGATCCATGGACGATAATGAACCGGTGCTCTTCGTCAATGACAGATTTGAACCGAGCCTCTTGGCGTCCTCTGCCTCACCGGCGCTTCTAGCTCTCACTTTTTTCATAATCGTCAGTGGGGCGTTTGAGTCTTCCTGCTTGGAGACGTGAGTCCGTCGAGGTGTCTGCGATCTCGCCGGAGACGGCGAAGAAGACCTCGGCGAAGATTCTCTCGACTCGGGCAGAGTCTTCAATGGCGGTTCGCTTAGACTTCGTACCTTCACGTGTTCCCGTGACATAGATTCTGGGCTACCAACGCGCAACGTGGTAGACGAACCGAACTCGTCGATGTCCAGCAAGCTGTCGAACTTGCCGATTTTCTGAAGGACCGACCGACCAGGCCAGCAGACCCCGTACGGGCTCGAACTTCTGGACGAGAGGACGCTGTCACGTTCCCAGTTCTTGAACTTCGAGTTCGAGACAGGTCGCTTGTGCGCCAGGTACACGCCCAGAGACTTCAAGGACGGCTCCGATCTGAAGCTCTCCCTCGTTGTGTCTTGAAACATTTTTGCACGCTCGCCGACGAGAGATTTTTTCTCTTCGTGAGGTTGTACGAACGACATATGGTTCCGCAGGAAGAGATTCTGAAAGAAAGTATCTGTGCGCGTCGCCTCCTGGTGCCTCCTGATCTCCTCCACGGTCAAGATAGAGGTTCTGGAATCTTGCTCGACGCTTGGCACTATCTTCTCTACTCTCCTCAGCAACTTGATCTCGTCCTTCTCGGCCATCTCCCTCCACCCGTTCAAGGTCTTGCTAACGTCCGCTTCGTCGACGCTCTTATCTCTCCGCGCCTTTCTTTTCGTTTCAATCTTCTTCCTGTCGCCGTTCACAGTCACGCGTATCGTCTCTGGCTTCTTCGTCGGAGTCTTGACGATCGTCTGCGGCTTCTCACGAGGTCGCTTCCTCTTGCTCGCTTCACTAGCTACTTCGGAACAGGACGAAGACACCGAACGTAAGGATTCTTTGCTGACGACTAGTTTTTCTGATGGCTTCGCGACGATTTTCGTTCTCTTTAATTCTGGCTTAGTGATTTGTGACGCGCTTTTTGCGGGAGATTTTAGCTGGGCGCTTGACGTCCTTCTCGTCGCCGTAGGCTGCTCAGGTGTCTTTCGTAATAGTTCCTGTCCCTTGGGCGAGACAACAGCTTTGAGAGACTTATCTATCGGACGTTTCTGTTTACTCGTCGACAAACTATATGGAATCGTCGAGCTCTTCACTAAAGTGCCTGACGAAAGTGCTCTGCTTTGCACGTCCCTCGTTTCTCTCTCTTTATGCTTCTGTAAAGCTTTTCTGACCTCTATCGGTGAGGAGAGTTCGTGTGATCTGCTGAGCCTCCTGCAGGATTGTTCTTGCTCTTTCTTCGTAAGACGAAACTTGTCCCTCTTTGCAGTTGAGAGAGATTCCGGTCTCGTAGTTCTTTCCGGAGATTTCTGTCTCACTTTGGTGGCAACGGAAGTTACGTGTCTCGATGGCACCTTTACCGCCGCGCGTTTATCGAACTTCACTGAAGATTCGCGACTACTCCTCGATGGCGGCGATGTCGAGGAACAAACGTGACTACTCACACTGCTCGACGGTAGATTAAATTTTTTTGCTTCAAATTGGGTCTGCGACAAGCAGGGATCCGATCTTCTCTTGCCGAAAGTATTGGAAAATAAAGTAGATACCTTGGCGGTCTTCGAGGCAATCGGGCTGCTGGAGGACGTGCGCACGATCGCACTGTGAAACTGCTCGCGACTTCGCCGATGTCGCTCGAGGTTGCTGCAGAATCTCTCTCTTAGCGATCTGATGCTCGACACGCTGTCGGCATGCGCGAAGCACTGTTCGTGCCTGGGTTTCGAATACGCGGTGTACGAGTTATCGATCAATCGCGTACTCTCCGAATACAATTTCAAGGTTCTGCTATGACGTGAGGATTTTCTTCGGGGCGGGGAGGGCGGTCTTGGCGCCGACATAGCTTGCGGAAGAACTCTACCGGATGACGAGAGGCTGTGAGGGGGAGCTCTCATGACCGGCAGCGGCGGCGGCGGCGATCTCGAGTCGATCGAGGACAGTATCGACCACTCGTGCCGCGTTGAGAATGCCGTCGTCTTCGTGGATGAGGTGATGGTCGACGTGCACGAGGCGCTTCTTCGATGCACGCGGATCCTCGTCAAAGTCGGCGAGATCGGGAAATATTCGATCTCCGAGTCGTCTGTGGACAAAGTTTCGCCGGTTTGGTTTTCCGGGTTCTCGTATGCCGTCGAAGGCCCTTCGCTTTTACACCCTGCCACCCAAAGATCAGTCGTCTAAAGGTTGTCCCGTTCAAGGCTAAGCTGGTGGACGCGCCGTGCTTCGCCGGCGCGACTGCGTGCCGATGCGAGGATTTGCGGCTCCTCATTGTGTCGTTACTGCGGCTGGCGGTGCGCTTACGCAAAAGAATTGCAAAAAAGAGCTTTTCGGAAGGACCGACTCGCGCACCAATATCGACAGACTATCGAGAGAAGAGTTGTGCCATATTTAAACTTAGGTGAGAACGCCCGAGGTCAGGTTGCATCAACTTTACCCGGTTGACTAATTCCGATTATCGATTACCTGTCCCCGTCTAAATCGCAGCCTTGGCCACGACGCGATATCGGGGAAGGAAAGTTTTAGGCTGACGGAGAGGCCGTTGCGTCGTTGATTAATTAATTAATCGATATTGGCGAGTCAAGTCGCCCGGTAAGTTTATCGGTGAAGTACCACAATGCGCTGTCGCATGAACTCGGACAGATCCGTTGTCTCACGAAAGCCTCTCCTCCAGCCTAATTAATCGCGATTAGCGCTAACTGACGTTGATGCAACCGCCCACGGGAGATTACACATACAAAGAAAATTACGTATCAAAGCAGTGTGCTTCAAACAGAGCACTACTCACACGTCATGCCGCGGCGCTTTTCAGCACAGATCAGCGCTGTGAGAGTTAAATTTTTTTTTTAGAGGAAAAATCGTTTCGACTCTTGTCGATACGTCCAATTTTGCGAAACATCGAGGATACTTTTTGTAACTGTTATAAATAATCCGAAATAATTAGAAATCAAACAATTTCTCTAACAATAATAATGTAAAACAAATGTATTGTATAACTCTTTTAACTAATCTTTTTCTCATCACTCGAAGTTTCGAAACGCATGCGTAATTGACAAAACACAATAATAATTAATAAAAACGCACACATTGCAAGCAACCTTAAGACACATACCCGCATGCGAAAAGTAAACTCGGGTTACACGGCCGATGTTGATCAGCGTGCTGGTTTGTAGCATATCAAGACGTATGGAAAAAGTAAGGAACAAAAGAAAAATTAAAATAGCACGAGGATCGGGGCGACTCACCCTTCGGACGTTCCGGGGCTAGTTTGCGAAGCCCATGAAGGGGTACGTCGCCACCGCTCTGCACCGTTTTGTATGCCAGTCTCTGCTCCAGAAGGCTGAGCGGACTGATGTCTTCTCGTCGGCGGAACACCAGCGTCGAGTCACTCTCGTAGCCTGACTCTTTGAGAGCACTTCGCGAACGAGAAACGCCGGTGAGGGATAAATACCTCGATTCATTATGCAGATTTAAAGAGATCAGAGATTGACATTGTACTTACTGAGTCATGTACGGCTTGGCCGCGGCACGTGCGTTGCTACGCTGATCGAAGGGCTAAAAAAAAAGAAAGAAACGCCGTTACCGTCGCCGTTCGTTACGTCGACGATTCTCGATCGCCACTTATCGTCTACAAAACATGCTACGCATACGCTACTCGGCGCGCGAGAGATACGATTATTCGAGATCCAAGAACGAGTGGTTTTTAATCGAGATCAACAATCGCATCGAGCAGAACATCGAGCAGATCATGCCGCGGTCGTGTAATGCTAAGCCGGGGTGAAGGAGGAACGTGGCAGGATTAAGCTAATGAGACATAATCCACAGGAAATGAGAGGTACAGGAAGAGGGTACAAATATGTAGGAGATCAAGATACGAGGAGATCAACAATAGCTGCTTGTGATGCAAAATGTACCTGTGAGATACGAACGATGTTGTAAAAAGTGATGTTATTAACGTACGAATTATTGATTCATAAGAATAAAAAATAACTGATATCGCTCATTAATTGGTATTTCGCTTCTGTGACAAAATATTTCGCTCATGCCGCATCGAGTGGTGTATCAAAGGAATATTTTCCAATGGCTTTAGAGTTTCGCGATGTGTACAGAAAAAGCGCTAAAAACGCGGCTCTAACTTCTTCTCATTAAGAGTATTGTGTATAATGATACAGACAGAGATGTGTAGAACAGGCATGTGAAGGATAAAGAGAGAGATACAGAATCATGACAAAGATGCAAAGAAGAAAGTGAGGGAGAGACGACTCGATAGCCATAGAGATAGAGATAGACAGCAGACAGATATCTAGACAGATAGAGGACAACGTCATCGTGCACTCTACTTGTCGACGATGTGGCAGCCGTTCTAACCCGTGAAACGGCTTGCGTGGTGATAACGGAGGGTGTTGTCGGTGATGGTGGTAGCATGATATGATCGGTGCTGGAAAAAGAAGAAGAAGTAGAAGAAGAAGAGAGCGGCGGTCGCTGCTGCTGTTCTTGGTCTTGATGGTGGGGCTGTTGATGATGACGATGTTGATGATGATGTTGATGCTCATGATGATAATGATGGTGCCCATGATGATGATGACGATGATGCTGCTGTTGCTGCTGCTGTTGTTGCTGGATGCTGTTGCTGCCGGTCGAGCACGGCACGATCGCGGCGACAGACGGAAGCGGCGATGCCGCCGATCGCTCGATCCCGACCGGATGCGATCGGCGTGCCGGACAACGATCCGGCAACACGAAGCTCTTGGATCTTCCATCCAGCATGCCGGCGGCATGCCAATAGCAGGGGTCAGCGGCGGCGGGGGCGCGTTCTAGAGGTCGGATGATGCGACCGTCCCCGATATCATCGACGACGGCGGTTGGACGATCGCTCGACCGATCGGTAGACTCGATCGATGGGATCAAGGACGACTTGGACTGGTCTTGGACCGGGGTTCTGGACCTATGCGTACGCGGCCTGCAGGATAGATCGATCGACCGATCGGTCGTGCCTTCCGACGCCACCGGACGCGCCCGCCTCATGCCGCCGACGAACTCAGAACTTTTCGTGCTGCTGATCGTCGGTATCCTTACACTGTCCTCCGGCCGATAGGAGAGGCTGAGGACGCGGGACTGCCGGACGCTACCGCCCAGAGACTCCATCCTAGCGTGCTGAGGATGTCCGTTTTCGTTCAGCCACTGTCACCCATGGTCGTCATCGTCGTAGTCGTCGTCGTCGTTGTCATCGTCGTCGGAAGGGGATGGATAACGGTGTGGGATGGCATACGAGCGGGGACGACACGCAAAACATCGACGAGCACGCACACGCACACACACGATCGGGGACATCGGTCACAGTCGTCCAGACCGGACGATGATGATCGGGATCCGGACGATTCGGCGATTCGCAGGACGGGGGGTTCAAGACGGAAGGCGTTAGGTGTGCAATCGGTAAAACGACATACCGTGCATAAGTTAATACATGGGTATACGCGACGCGCGTGTCCATCGCGATATGTAAACCCTTTGCAACCCGGTAATGTTCCTCCGTATAAATCCTTCAATTTATAGTTATCATTATCGAAAGATCTACTTAGTACTTTAAACAATGTCGGGGAAATCCCCATGTGGGAGGGAGATTGCATGCACACCCGGGGTGCAGGATATCGATTATCAGAAGGCGAGAAGCCGCCGTTAGTTATCAAGTTTGACGTTAAATCGCATGAAAAAAAATCGCTGGCCAGTTTTTTGCTGGCTAACTTTACAAACGGTGCACCACAAAAATTAGATCGAAAAAACATATATCTTGAAACGCAATAACCACATTAAAATTGGCAACGCGCGATTGCTCGTGTGAGCGAAATTTATTTGAAATTTATTCTAGAAACCGCGACGGTGCATCTTCTTATTCATAATTTTAATTTTACGACAAAATTCTACGAGAAAAGGAAAAGATTGTGGCAACATGGTAATTCTACAAGATCCCTCAAGGCGATGAGCTACTAGGTTAATTCCGAAGTAATGGAAAATATTAATTTTAATTGAATCTTACCATCTACGCGGAGGAGAGAGAGAAAGTACCAATAGAACGAGGAGAGAATAGAAGGAATAGAGAGACGGAGAAAATTCTTATTTAACTATGCATTAATATAAAAATGGCGTACCCCGTCAAATATGTCCATGACCTCGTCCCACCACTAGAATCACAGAATTAAACACAGTGTTATACTATGCGCTATCTAGAAGGGGTTACTGAAACATTTAGATTCAAATAAAAGGGGGATAATCGAATACTATCCGGATATTCTCGCCATTTTCCATCTAAAATAGGAGGAAACGCTGGATGACCTAACGCTAAATAAATATGTTAAAAAGAGAAGCTATATACAAATTTCTGTAAAATAGACCATCAATTATAATTATGGTCAAATATATCGTATAATTACACATTAAATTAAATATAATTGAATTATTACACAAACAAATTTAATAAAACCGTGTCTCGATTTTAGATGGAGGTCGGCATGATATTTAAACATAGGATCAACTACAAGCAGCGCTACAAAAGCTGTGTGAAAATCAACGGGGTTGTACTACGTGGAGCCACAGGGTACCCCGAAGGATGCGATTCTCTCCACTCGAGAGATAATAAAAATTTATGTATGTAATCTCCATTACAGTACTTGCTCTCTCGAGGGACCCTGCGCGCTCTGAATACACGTGCGTGCTTGTTGTATACTGAGAACTGTGTCTGCGCTGTGTGTACGTGTGTGTTAAAGAAACGCAATAACCACCAACGAGGGCGGCGACAGAGAGCAAGAGCTCGCAATCAATTAACTTTCGTGATCGCCAAACAGAAAAGCTCTCAATAAACGGAGGAAACGTATAAGTTGGCCGGCAAAAGCAATTCGTTTTATTTAACACGTTCGGATTGGCGTGATTACCTTCCTTCTCGTCCGCGCGTCGTAAGTCGGCTAGAAGCAAAGCCATTTCAAACGATCATGTTCCAGGTGTGTGTTCCAGGTAATCTTGGGAATCTTTCGTAGAAATCGCGGTCGCGCCGCGCCGCGCCGTGCCGCATTCGTCGCGATAAGAAAATTAAAAAAAAGAGAGGGTAGAGAGATGTCTACGCGAATTTCTACTACCCCGACTGCCACGCTCGCGCGAAATATGGCTCGATGTCGCGCGATACAAAGTGATGTACTGCACGTTCGATCAATTTCACGATGTAGAACGATACATGATACCCCGACGGAGGGATGGATGGCCAATCTTAAGTTCGCGTTCGGCGCGCACCCCAACTTTAGTGTCAACCGTGTGACCAACTAAACTTTGCCCTCTTCATTTATATCTAACATGGAAATCCACATACGGAGCACATTATACGTACATAATATATATACTTCTACGTTACGTTATTATACTTAATTAAAATTACTTAACGGGGGCTATCGGTGCGAAACGATCCCGTCGTTAGAAGATTCGATTGTCCCGTCAATCGTTACTCTTCGGACGAGCTAGTAATTTCTACACGGTGTCGTATGACCGAATCTTCCGATGTTATGGGAGAGTGCGCATTAATTTATAGTACAGGCAGGTCTGTCTACTCTCGAGTTACGAACGATAAAGGTCGCCGTACCTCTTTAGCTTCCTTCTCGGCGATCGACGAGTGCCCTGGTTCATAGTCCTCGATGCGGCCAGGCTGATTTTTATAAATCTCTGTCGAGTATTTCAGCGCCCCATTCCTATAGCAGAATGTAAATTGCCCATTATCGTATAAATCTTTAAAGAGTTTTATGTTTTAGATTCCAGTTACTGAGAAACGATCCGTTCGAACGATAAAAATTGAACGAAAGATGAAAATCGGTGAGAAGAGAACACGCGGAGGAAATTTAAACGTGCGAGCAGCTTGGGAAAAAAAGCGGGGAAACTTTCCGAATTCTCGCTTACTTTCTGGGCATAGTCGCCGTGGTGAAGTCATTTTCCTTGTTGCGCAGCCGTCGGCGGCTATCGAGAGTAACGGATCGATCCGAGTATGCGCGCGGTTCCGGTTCACTCAAATATCCGCTGCCGCTTCCGTATCCATATCTCCCTCCTGAAACAAGAGTGTTTCATTTTTCACATTTTGTTTTCAGCCGGTCCCTATTCGGGGCTCCCGTTTGGTTGCAGCAAAAAATCTACTGGTAACCAAATAACGTTCAATTAACAGCGCAAACAATTCGGTGTTTACCTCTGGTTTAGTTCCTATGACGTTATAATAGAAATATCACATTACGCAAACACATATATGCACACGCATAAACACATACACACGTATACCGCGTTACGTAACATTAGTATATACGTTATTTGAGAATTAATCATCGAGAGATCTTCGGCATCGAGATTAAGATGTAATCCCAGTTTGCAATTAAATTTTAATCGATCTTTCCTAAGTAAATGAAGTTTGGATTAAATTTTTGCCGCGAGAAGATCGACTTGGCGCGATGAAACAATCTAAAGACGGGGAGCTCGCGAAAGATCGTACGCGAAAACTTCAAATCAACTCAAGAAGTTCCTTCGCGACAGCGAAGAATTCACGCCAACTCGAGAAGTCGCTCCGACTTGGCTTGATATATTCGATGAGAGAGGCTCGTACCTCCGCGGGGATTCTCCAAATTCTAAGACGTCCAATTCGGGCGAACCGAGCAATCTCTCATAAGTTAAAACACACATTAATGGTAAACGATTAATCGAATCAACCACGATGTTAATCTACGGGAGGACGAGTCCTGCCAGGGAGAGGCGAGTGTTAATTATCAGCCGGATGTTAGATAAGGTAGAGGCGCAAGGTAGTCATCTATGTATCTGTCGGAAATTGTTTATTATTATTTTTCACGCTCGACTAGCGCAGCTGTTAAACGGCGAATATATGTACAGCGACAATTGTTATCTTGCATTACGCAGAAGGCCAGCTGCCGTTCTATGGAAAACAGCATATCCTGCGGCGAATATACGTTTTTGTCACAATCGGAGATTATCTCTCCGCCGCGTTTTTTTACTTTACAGATATTAGTTACGCTGCTGTTACACAAAGTCGCAGCTAGAGCGACTGCGTTACGCATCGCACCCACGCACAGCGTAATATTAGTAGCAAATGTCGCAATTCGCGACCACCGCAGCAGTCATGCGCGGAAGTTGCATATTCACCTCTTCTTGATTTGTATTTTATGGTTACGTAGTCATCTGGAAGCAAAATCGTGGAATTATACGACGGTGAACTGCCCACAAAATGTTATTATTTTGAACGCGCGCATTTATCGGCACGATATTAATTAAAATCCTAATTTACCCCGCAAATAACGATATTGTTTGGTACTATGTATGCATAACAAAAATATGCGGGCGATCGTTTATATCTCTCGCGTAAAACACTGTCTAATAACCGCCCGTAATTGCAGAACTTACCGTTCCTATCCGCGCGGTGCAACGAGTCGTACATTCTCTTGTACCATTTTGCTTGATTGCTTTCCTTGACTTCCTAAAATAATTTATCGAAAAAGTATTGATAGAAACGCATCGCACGCCGCGACGTAAAACAACCACTCGTCTATAGCGCGATATAAATCATTTCTTCCCACACACGATTGCTCGTCGAGCGTTCATCGTACCAATTAAAAGGTTTGTACTTTTGATTTACTTAATAATTAGCGACCTACCGATCTCAACACGAGAGGGATACCCTCCTTAGTGACCGGGCCGATCCCCTCGAATTTTCGAGGGCCTAGATCGGCCATCTTCTTCGGCGGTTCATGCTCCGTTTCCGGCTCACTCTCGTATTCTTTCTTCACCGTGTAGACTGAACGATTCAATTTCACAATAAATCATTAGCACTCGCGTACGCAGTGAGAGAGTAGATTGACACATACGTATAAATTAGACACAGCTAGTTAGCGAACGTTAGTGAATAAGGAACAGATACGGACTTCCGAAAATCGGTGTACGTATAAATTGGGCGGCTCTCTCGTATATAAAATTTTATCCAACCATAATATAATAATCATATTGTAATAACGTTCGATCATTTAACTTACAACCGATCGATACTTACTTATCTCTCCTGGAGAGATCAGCGGTCTCTCGTCGCTCAACGGCCGATTATCGGACACGCTCTCCTCCAAGTAAGCCGCCCCTTTCGGCAATTGTCCCTCTACAATAAAATCGCAACGACGGTTTAGCCAACGATAGAGGAAATTGTAATTCCGCAAGTCTTTAGCGGAGCAGAGGGATTCTCGTAATGGGTGCTGACCTCGTGCTTTCTGCAGCAACGTGATGGTCGGATTCTGGGCACGTGGCAATCGCGGCGTGGACGCGAGCGCGTTTAATCCCTGGGAGGGTGCCGAATGTGAATTCACGATTCGCGAGATGCCGCTCTCCTTCCTCTCCTGCTCGCCTTTCCAGGGCGGAGGCGCCTTGAACAGAGTTTTGCGTGAGAATGCGTACCCTTGCACTTTGCCACTTAATTTCTCGACCGTTGGTGCAAGAAATTGGGAAAAAAAGCCAGTTTGGACAAAGCGACCACGCATGTCTGTTCTTTCCTTCGCAAAGGGAATTTTGTGCTATTGCGTTCATTTTTTAAGGAATTGTCTGGATTGGATTTTGCTTCAAGTTCGCTCGCCGAACTCAACGCTTTAATCAATCGCGAGTTTAGTTTCTTAAATAGCTGGCGTCTCGGCGTAATTGACTGACGTACCTCTTCCTTTGGCTGCCTCTTCCGGCTCAGTACAGGACTCTCGAACGGCACGGGACGAAATTCCTTCCTCTCGGCGACGGGGCTCGCGCCGGCGCTGGCGGGGGTCCAAACCGGCGGGATCGGCTCGCTCTTCTGTGGTTCTTTGGTACGTTCGGGACTCGGTGCCTTTCCAGCTGGCGTTTGTCCTGGCGACCAAACGCCTGGCAACGAAAATTCACTCTTAAGAATGTAATCGACACGGCGTGCCCATGAGACGATGATTTGTTAATCAATACTCAGGCAAATGTGGTTATCGTCGGATGGAACAACAACGGTCTTGCTAAAAAAAAAGGCCAGGCCGATCGATTACTCTTCCTATAAATGAACCCAGTTTCTATCGTTTTTAAATTTACCGTTTTATAATTAGATTTATCGGTGACCCCGATATAGGAGCTAATTGAAGAAGGATTGCCAATAAAGGAACAAACTCGCCAAAAGAGGTCTTTGCTCCTGCAACAGCTGCGCTACGCGGATTTGGTAGATTGGCGCTAAAGCTAAAATATGAAATGTATACGGGCGCGATGCTAATCTTGGCACACGGGGGCGCATTACATAAGGGATCGTCTTTTTCCCGGCTACTTCCTGCATTTTGTGCTACGTCACCGCCCACTACTAATTCGGCTCGTTTAAAAGTGGTTCTTTGACGCAGGCGATCTATTAAACCTTTCGCAACGTATACAATAATCCGTATCACGTATATATTCACGTAGCGTAGAGAATCCGGGGAAAAAAATAGAGCTGCGGGAGGAATATTTTTACAAGCTTGCACAACCGTTTCCAACGTCAGAGCAATCTTTTTTAACGGCCGCGCTTAACAAAGGTTTTATTAACTCGTTAACCACGGTCGAAATAAGAACGAGCGCTATGTCGCAACGTCGGTGACATAAACGAACCTATTGACGGGTGACTTCGCTCGAATGTCAGATGGGGAAGCGGCAGCGTTACAACGCGATAAAGATATATTGTCGCCACGATGAGTCAGGCACATATGCTCGTCGGAATTGAACCTCTCGGCCAATTTGCAGAGCCGTATCTCTCGCGGTCGCGCGCGGCAGCAGGAAATCAGGGGTGGGTTCATTTGGGACGCGGGTAAAATTAGAAGCTCGCGTGGGCGGCGTTAGGCATTATGAGATACGCATAATTGCAATTGGCCGAGAGCGCAACCTGAACACAATGCCGCGAGCGACGCGTTTTCTGGAGCGAACGCGTTTTCTGCGCACGACACGTCAACGCCGAGACGTTACGCGCGAATTCGACGTATGTCGAATCGGCTGAAAGGTCTGAGAGGCAGAGGAACCGTGAGAAATATAGATCGGCTTTCATTTCGATTCGAGAGCGGCGAAACGCCTCCTAACACTCGCGACTGTTTAGATAACACATATTTCTCTATACGGGAATATAATAATTGATGTTACACACGTTAATTTACGATACCGTTACGACACTATCTATACATTCTCGCTAATTGCAACGTACGTGCGATTAATCAACGCTGTCGCGACGCCAGCTGCATCCAGCGTTCGAAACGTCAAAAACATCGAATTGCCATCGTTTTTGGATCGTGTACCGAACATGCACACGCCTATTCGTAGCTAACAGCCAAGCAGCGATGGGTAATTAGTCGTAACATCGAATACCATAAGGATGACGTTCTCAGGTAACCGAAATTAACTCGCGCCTTCCTCCCTGGACAAATTACCGAATGGGATTACTAATACGTGTTACTAATACGAGATTGTTAGTCGCGAAAATACATTCACAGAGACACGCACACGCGTACGTGCGGCAAAAACTTAATTACGACCTCGCTGCTAAGAACACACGTGGCCTCTACACAATGCGACCCACATCCTATACGTAATTAATTTTATTACGTCTTCGGAGAAACGGGCGTTGGTTAACGTAATGGAGATACACTCTCCTGGATGGCAATTCCATTTCTCTTATCGCATCGTTCATCATCCACTTACATTCGGGTCAATATTCGAAAAGTTAATTAATTACCGAAAATTTCACTAAAAATGTTAATGGACAGATATATATTCTCGTAGTCGTTATTCGAGAACAACGTTGGATATTAATAATTTCAGATTGCATCTTCAGTCATTATGCAAGATGCACGACAACGAAATTATTCTGTTAGTTTTCTCACACATTCCTCGCAGCAGGTTTACCTGGTTTCGCCGACGAGGCTTTAAACGTGGGGGCGAACATAACGTTCTCTGAAAGCATTAAATAACGTTTTGTCAGGCAAAATGTCTCTCTCGGGTCTTCTCGCCGTTTCGCAAATCGCATTTATTTCAACGACGCATTTATGAACGGATCTTTTTTTAAGCGTCTCATGATTCAATAATTAATTCGTACGTCTCCGTGAGAGTTTTTCCAACCTAAACCATCGTCTATCAACGTGGAATATCTTGATGCTTATCGTGGGTCAACACTGCGCGACGCGAGTCGCTTATATTACACCGCCGCGTCCAATACCGCCTGAAGAGCTCTTCAAAGTTACTTTCACGATGAAACCGCGACTCATTAATATAAAAGCGATCTTGATGGACTGCCGCGAAACGAGCGCAAGGAAGAAGAATAAAGCCAAGTTGGATTGCCTTATTCCACAGCAGACTAAAAGCGTATCAGCGTCATAATGCATTTCTAAAACTGATCGTATAATTTACGAGCATCGAAAGGGTTTGCCGAATCATTCCACTTCTTTGTGATGTCTCTTCAATATCTTAAAATTATGTCAATTCCTCTCATGTCGGTAGATTTTTATTTATCTTTGCCAATTAGATATCCTCATATTTTTCCCTCGAATTTCCTCGTCGATTCGCAATACGATAATTCAAGAAACGCTCGTAATTCTTTTCTGAGGATTTCCTTCGAAAGGACGCGAGTTCCGAGTTTTCTCCGCGATCGCGGAACTACCTGTTGAAGAAATTCACGAACACCTATCGCGCCTTCGCCCCTCGTTACCCCTCGATAATGCATCAACTCTCCCGAAACCGTCACTCACTTTTCTCCAACATCGTCACTTTTACGATCTCAATGACCCCTTTTTTTTTATTTCGACGCGGCACCGCGTATCTCGACGGGACACTCCTCTCGAGGCACGGGAAAGTAGCACGGTAGGTGCCAGTCGACTGAGGCGTCGCGACGCCGACGAGGCTCGACGCCACGCCGCGCGCGACGCTCACTACGCCGACGTCGATGGCGACGACGTCGTTCGAGGCTGCCCTATACGAAATCACGAGCCCACCGCCAAACAGTCGAGCTATATACGTGTGTGTATATACGTTCGCTTGAAAGATGAATATCTGAGTTTTTCTCAATCTCTTCCACCGTCGAGGTTAAAACGAAATAGCGTTAGAAAATGAACGACATTCAAAATTTCATATAATTCTATGGTTCATTCGGAATATCTCAATCTTTCGGTATTAATCTTTATTGCAAAGCATTCTCTTCTACTGTGTAACGCATGCTGTCAATGATTAAGCAAAATTGCGAACGCACCTTGCCCAAGTAGAAATCCCTGGCCGATTTTCAAAGCTTTGTCGATCTCGTGCAGCAAATCGCTCTCATTCCTGTTTCCTCCTTTCGCAATGGCATCGCAGCCGCTCCCTTTGATTAAAAAAGCATGCCCATATCCACCAAAATGAAAAAAAAAAAAAACCAGATGCGGCAAATTAATTTCGGGCAGCGCACCGTGGTGAGTTCGTTAGCAAGTCGCAAGCCAGGACACGATAAAGGAATTCTTGGGTGCGAGATTTTTGAACATTCGTCATCGTTCGTAAAAAAAGAATTGATGTATCAATTGGCACTGCGAATACAAATAACTTGTATCCGCAGGCGGATGCCTAAATTCGCACATTTAGCCCCGACGAAGCGCACGCTGTGGCTAAACTTTCGTGCTAAAGTTAGAATAGAAAATAAACGGATGCTTCGGTAACCGCGTCGAAAGGTTCACGAGACTTACGAAATACAAATAACGGCGGTGAGTTAATAGTAATAGACGAGCGAGCCGTGTTCACACGCGCTTGGCGATGTGTCAATAAAAATTAACATTATTGCACCCGGACAAATGACTTTATGACAAACATCGAGACCGTTTCCCATGTATTTTTCTTCTAGTTGCAACAACATTGATTGGCATTAAAATGTTTGAGTATAACATGCGTTCATGCAATATATTTATAACGTGTTATACAAGTATATTGTCAACAAAGTGATCTATGATCTGAAAGATTAAAAAAGCGAGCATGCAACAGCATATGGTGAAAAAACGATATTAGATGAATGTAAGCATGAATCAGCTTCATTATCGAAATAAATGGGAGATTGTCATTTATATGCTAGTTATACTATCGCGATTAAAGCTTTTAACAAATTAAAAATTCTTGAAGCTCTTAAAAGAGAAAAAGTAATTCGAAAATATACGCTTTCAAATATTGAGAGAGAAGTTTGTTAGATTATTCATTGATTACTTCGATGAGTTCCGAAATATCGCTATCGACCGTTTTTTGATCATGGATAGAGCACATAGGTATATATATTGACATCTTAGCGGGCAAAAATCCTTGGTCACCACGAAAGCAATCTCAGGATGTGCGAACGAGCGGGCCAGTAGGCCACGTCGCGCGAGTGATTCAAAATAGCTGAAAACAAGACGGTGGTTCCGACGCGCGTTGGCCGAAATGGCGAACGCGTCCTACGAGCGACTGGCCTATTTTTCGTCTCGCGGTGTGTCTTATATTTAGATTCTCATCCTCCAATGAATCACACACGAACGTCGCGGCCCGACGATCGCGGGACGAAGGAAAGAGCGAAAGAGTAAACCGCAGGCCAGTACTCTTCCATCATCAGACGTGGCATCATCTAAATGATCACGTTATAGCGATAGACGTTTAGAAAAGGCATCGTGCCGAATAGAATATTTTGTGGGAGCTTGGAAGACAGTGTTGTAAATTGCATTGTCATTTTCACTACTCCTCGAGGAAAGAGAGATCTCTTCGAATTACTCGGCACGGGATTAAGCATTCGGCGACTAATCGGCTCCAGGGAGCCGGTGCGTAAACGACATGACGCAATTTGATAGCCTCTGTACCTCCGCGTTGATATTCGTTATCGCAAACTGTCGCGGTTCATTATCCGCAACGCTGCTGTCGCAGCGCCCAACGCGTTAAATGTTAACGCAATAATTTTCCATAGCGTCGCTTTGATGAATCGATCGCCGTCTCGGAATAAATGCCAAAATATACGAGCAGCGAGCAGCGCTCATGGCGCGCGTGTCGATCGCGTGCCGGATTTACGTCGCGGAATATTAAATCCCGCTTCGCGCACCCGATATTACGGCGCGTTGGGCAAAGCCGGCAATGAGAGGAAGGCGCGTAAACATGTATATTCGTTATAACATCACGTTAACTCGCCCGTTTCACAATACACAATGAGATTTATTATTTATACAAGACTGATCGCGCGCCGTTGTTGGAGACCGAGATATTAATCGGATTACGGAATTGAAGCAATCTGGACCGCGCGATTATGATGCTGCACGACCTGCACCAACGTAAATAGATCTCCGCGCCGTTCGACGCGCTTCCGCTTTATCGCCGAGAACTAATCTCGCCTTCGGAGCCGTGTAGGAAAACAGTACTCAAGACAGTAATGAGATTTCCGTTTCGACGTTACCGCCTTGTCTCTCATATTGAGAAAGTTCGCGCTTACGCCGCGATAGCTCAGGCGATCCGACGAGAGCGATGACCGGAGAAATCCCCAATTTTTTTTTTGCTAAATCTCAACTATTTTAATCAAGCGCCACGATATTGTAAATTTTACAGCTCGATTTTATTGCACGGAATTAAAGACGAGAATTTGCAATATTCAAAAAATATTTCAATTATTTCAATCAGTTGAAACAAAACGAATGTCGCCGGTCGCTTTTATTACGCGAAATTTCATATTGCGGAATTTTATTATCGCTGCTTTCAGTCTCTTCAAGTCACGTTTATTAGAACGAGTTTCTAAAAGGGACATTGTCGGGTAAATATTAACTGAAGATTAATTTATTCATCCTTCCCGCGTTTTTTGTCCAACGGTCTTCGTATTGTTGGCACCCAGGCGGATAGATAGAGAGAATTAGCATAGTATCATCAAGAACGTTAGTGACGGCAAACATTAAGGCATCTACGGACGTCGGACAAGATGCGCGGGTTACGTTAGTGGTTGTTAAAGGGGTGTCCCTTCGCGAGACACCGAGAGTCCAGGACGGATCGTTCGACTTCCGGGCGGGACACTCTGTCTCTCAGCAGTCACCAATCGGCACCAATCATCATCGCAACACGACGAGCAACACAGCAAAATCCATTGTCCATTCCATTCGCCGTAACTCACCGCCCTCGTCGTCGCTCATCGTGGAGATCTTCAGGAACTCCCGCAGGTGTTTCGGCAGCTTCCGGACGTCCTGGAGCTCCTTGCCATCGATCAGGAATTTCGCGTTAATCAAGGCGTCGCCCTCCTCGTCCTCGTGCTCCGTCCCGCTCTCGTCGAGATTGATCCCAAATTTGTTTAGTCGGCTGCGCGCCTTCTCGATGAACTCCTTCGCCATCGCGCTCATGTCACCGTCCGCCTTGCGCTTGATGTCCTCGTGCGTGCTGATCTTCACGACCTTGTGGCTCTTTCGCTCCTGCCGCTCCAACACCTTGTGCACGTACTCGTCGTACATCTGTTGGCGAAATGCCTCCCCGTTTGTCGCCAACGTCGTCGGTCTCTTCGTCTCGACATTCTTACGCTGAGTCGTCTTCTCGGCGAACACCTCGGAATCGTTCCTCGGTGTCCTTATCGATCGCGTTTCCGCGCAACGTTCGTTAACTTCGCCCTCGCGAGACTTAAACGTTCCATTCTCCGCCGTTCTCCCCAAGTTTCCCCTCTGCGTGATCACGTGGCGTTCCTCGTGTTCGATACTCTCCGAGGATTCCTCTTCGTGGTGTCCGTTCTCGTGACATATTTTCTTTAAGAACTGCCGATTGCCAACTTTATCGATCGTCTCTGTACGATTTTTTTCTACATTCCGCGATTTCTCCTGCCAAGATTCTTTCTGAATTCCCGGCTCGCTTCGACAGATCTCTTTCGAGCGTTTCTCCTCGAGACCACGGGCTTCCATTCGCTTATCTTCCGCACATTTTCCGTCTGTCATCCCACAAACGTCGATCGGAATTTTACGTTCGCGCTCGAGATTTACGCTTGTTTTTTTCGAGGTTTCTTCGGGGATATCAGCGAGAGACGATCTCCTCGCTTCGTCGTGCTGTTTCGTTCGATGAAAATGCGTCTGGAATTCCTCGAAGGCCTTTTTCTCCTCTTCTTCCGCCAGTAACACGTTCTTCAGCTGGTCTTCCAACAGTTCGATGTACCTCAGTTGCTGAGCAAAGTATTCTTGAGGTAAGGAGCCCCTCCTGTCGCCGTCGAGGCGCCGCGACGTTTCCGCCTGCAACTCTTTCAGTTTATCCATGATCTCCACAGCGGCCACTTGTTTTAGTTTCTCCACTTCATGGTGACCTCTTCGCGGCTCCAGACGACTCCTCGGCGGATTCTGGTCGAAGATGCTCGTTGTATCGATGCACGACCTATCGACCGTGACTGTGCGCTTCGGCAACGGTGGTACCTCGAGTCTGTCGTCGATCAACGCCGGATTCACGTGCTTGCCGGGATCGACTGCCCTCCTGAGAAGCGGAGTCCGCTTGTCGGCGTCCATCGATTGATCGGCAACAGTACCGTTCAACACGAACGGGCACTTAATGTTACTCGCGAACGACCTCTCCGAATCACGCGTTATCACCGCATCGCTGTTCGCCAACAGTCGATGTCCAGCCTGGGTGGTGGAACATGTCGCAATCTTAAGCCGATCGGGCCGAGCCACGTGACCGTTTCGCTTATCGTCGCTCGATTCGCCATCCTCGCCCCTCGTCGCCGCCAGGAATAGCTCGTTCGCGGTGGCGGTGCTTCGGCGATCGTGTTTGGCTAGATTCGACCAGTCGTTCGGCCGAGGCTCAGCCTTGAAACATTCCTGACCCCCGTCGCGCCCGAAAAAATCAACCGTGGCGTCATCGGTTATCGGCTTCGTCTGCTGATCCGCAAGTGTATCATTTCGAGGACCGTTTCGCTCCTCCTTGATAATCTCCAGCAGCCTGCTGCTGGAACTCTCGATCGTGGGGTCTCGATGAATCGCTCGAGTGACCGGCTTAGGCGTTTTCGTAGCTGCGTCGTCGTTCTCTTTGACCGGACGGATTTCCACCCGATACTGCGGCAGAGGAACGTGATGTGGCTGTTCCTCGCGATAACTGTACCGGTTTAGGAACTTTCGGTGAAGGTCCAGCAGAGTGTCGGCACTTGTGCGCACCTGCGTGGCCTGTTGCGACGGCGACAGGCAAATCAGAACCCTGGGGTCCTCCGTTGTGGTAAGCGCACGCCACCGTGGCTCCCGGTTTTCCATCCTACCCTCCGACTCTGATAACTCAATATTAACGCTCTTCGGCAACTTGGCCTGGTCTGAAACAGCATTCGCAATGTCGTTAAGACGAGGCTGCTCGCTCTCGTCCGGCGTTTTCGTTAGTCCGTGCCGCCGATCACTCACTCCATGCATCGAGTTTAGTCGGGCATTATCGCGCCGACGCGCGCTCGTCGGCGTGTCACTCACAAACCTCTGCAGAGTCCGGATACTCTCGAAGATGTTGAACTTGGGCGTAGTGATCTCGCCTATCACCTGCGGTCCATACGGCATCGACAAAATCCTCTCGACGCAGAGCTCGCTGAGAGAAGGCGGTCGTCGCGACACGTCTTTCGTAGCTTTCTCGGAAGTTTCCACGGAGGTTGCCTCTTCATTCAGTGGCTCATGGCAAAGATCCTCCACGGGCGAGTATGGAACCGGCTGCGGCGATTCCGAACTCTCACCCGATGTCGTTTCATTTGTGGATCCTCCCGCGCTCTTCAGCAAGGTGAGTTTTCGCTTCAGAGATTCTTCTACCTCGTCCTTCGAGTTCTCTTCTTTCGCTTCGCGGACGATCGCGCTGATATCGATCAACGACGTTTCCAGTGGACGATGCTTTATCGTACTCAAGGACGTGGTACTGCTAGACGAGTCGTGTCCTTGAACGTCGCCCGGCTCGCCCTCGGGCGAGGGATTTCCGCTCGTTCTTTGAAAGCTCGCCTCGTCGTCGAACGACGAATTCCTCGCGTCGCTCTCTCGGGATGAGCTGCGCGTTTCTTCCTCGTGCTTCTCCTCGCGCCTCTCTTCGCGCTTCGACTCCCACGTCGAATATTTCGAATTACGAAGACCATCGCGCTGGTTAAGACTCGTGCTCTCCTCATGTCGTTCGATTATTTTCGTCTCTGACGTTTCGCTTTTCACTATTCGTTCTTCACTTATTCGTTGGCGGAAGCCGGATGTCGATTTCCCGTTCTTCCCGTTTTTTCCCTCGGGCTTTTTCTTGCTCTTCGAACCCGAGGAGCCCATCGCTGACTTGTCTCTTATCGAGAAATTCGAATGAATGTCTGATTTATCGCACCTCGGTGATTCGTGATTTGCCGTAAAATTCCTCCTTTCCGAATTCGTGTTACCCGAGGGATACCTTCGCACCTCGGCTTCGCCCTCCTGCCGGCACGACGACGCGTTTTGATCATATGCCGCCGGTGCTGCGGGAGTCGCGGGCTTCCCTTCCTCACGACGCGTTATTTCCGTGCCCGTCGTGCTTGCCAGCGCGACGACGTGCGTGCCGGTGCCGCGCGAGCGTGACAGATCATCGTCGCGAATACCCGATGACGCGATCGATCGACCGCTCTCGGTCGAAGCTTCGGGGTGGCCGATCGTCGGAGCGGCATCTGTGCGTCTGACCTGATTTACACGAATCTCATTAGCGCCAACGGTCGTCGAGATTGGGTCACGCGAGCTCGAAAAATCCTCGCTATAAATCGCCCGACAGATCCCCGACGTGGAAGAGCTCTCACGAGTTCCGGGAAGCTCCGGCCGTCGCGGCGGCTCGTTGTCCGTCGCGTCGCGACTCGCACGCTTCCGCGCGGATAATTTCGTCGACCCGTGTTCGCGCCCGTTCGCCGCGACAGACGGCTGACGAGCGTTCGCGCCGCTCGAGATATAGTCTATTTCAGGTGGCGTCGGCGGTCTCTGAGGCTCGCGTCCGAAACTGGACGACCGCCTCGGCAGAGGCGGCGGTTGCTTCGTTTCCGACGCGGTTACTTTGCTCAGTGACGAATTCGGGGATGAATCAACTCCGTCGTTCGCACTTGATGCGCCGTGATTAACGATCGTGCACGGCTCGATGGAATCTCTTCGAGGAACATCGCGGTTCTCTGATTCCGCAGGTGCCACGACTTCGGACGAAAATTTATTATCTTCCGCTTTACTTACATCTGCGTCACTGATATCACTTACCGTCACAATACATGTCACGTTTTTTCCTACCTTCCCTGCTTCATTATTTTCCTCAGCATCATTTTTCACAATCTCAATTTTCTCAACGGTACAACCGTCCTTTAAACTACCTTGCGTCGTGTTTGCTGCAATTTCCAAGGATTCACCGTTGAAGATGTTTTTCGCATCCACTTTTTCGTCTGTCGTTTCGACCGCGGGATTGGTGTCCTTTGCTACTTCAGTTTCGAGACCCGCGATCCCTTCAACAGAATTGGGCTCAACGTTTTCAATCTCCTCGCAATCGTTCACTTTATCGCGCGAACGTAATTCCGTAGCGTCATTCTCCGTCGTATCAGTTTTAATCTTGATATCGCATTCCGACCCGGCAACTGGTTCAATCTCTTCAGGATCAACCCTTCTCGCTTCAACATCATCCGTCATCCTCTCGACGGAATGCCTGTCCTCGCGCCGATACTTGCTGATCTCCTCGTTTATGAAATCTCTAATGTGTTGCGCTTCGTCCTCCGACAGCCTCTCGCCCTCCTCCTGTATGATGTCGAGAAAGCTGCTGGCGTAATGCGACGCCGACATCGCGCGCTTCCTCATTTTCCGGCGCGACGAACTGACTGTTTTCTCGAAGGATCTGCTCTCTTCCGTCACGACGTCCCGCGGGACTTTCTCGACAGACCTTCCCTCGTCTTCGGTTACCTCCTCGGAGAAACTCGGCAGTTGAAGGTCCTCGATAAAGTTTCGCAGCTTCTTCTCCACATCTTTAGGCATCACCGTGGCCCACATCAGAGTCGGGGATTCCGTTTCCAGTTTGGAGAACTTTTTCTGCGGCGCGAATTGCTGCCCAATCCGATCCCTCGGCTTGGATATCTCGCGATCCTCGAGGTCCTCTCCTCCAATCAACTCCTTCTCCGTATCGGATTCGAATTCGACGATCGCCGATCCACAGTCGGCCTCCGCATCGCTGTCGTTGACTTCTCGGATCTCCAATTGAGTGTCGTTTGCTCCTGAGCGTCTGATTTTCGCGTAATCAGAAAACGAACGTACAGATTCCACCGGCTCCGATACCGTCACTATCGTTGACTCCTTTAATGTCCTGTTGTTTCCGGTCTCCACGATACCCACGCCGTCGATATGGCCGATTGTCGCCTCCAGAGGTAAACTGCTGACAGTCGTGATCTCGATTATCCTGGGACGAGATTCTTCCAACTCGATCTTCTCTATTCTGCGTTTATCGTCCGGCCGGAATCTGCATCCGCGATTCTCGCCTTCGGTCAGATTGACGTTCTCCGAAACGGGATTCTCCGCGACGACGGAGTCGTTCGTCTTTAAATCGTCGTCGTCGTCGTCGTTATCGCGCTCGTTCCTCGAGGTCGTCGGGCGATTCTCTTCCTCGGGCTTCCTCTGTTCGGCTTTTCGCGAGGATTCCGTGACGTTCGCCGGTGGCTGAGGAGGTCGCCGTCGATTCCGATTCTTGCGGCCGCGGTTGCGGTTGCGGTTGCGCGCGTTGCCCTGCGGCATCACGGCGCAGTCCTCCGCGTCGGTTGCGTAATCGGGAAGATCGCGGTATCCTACGATGTCGCGAATTTGTGGAAAAACTCTCTCTCGTTCTCCGCGAGTCGTCCTCTCTTCCCTTCTTCTTTCTCTTCTCTCGCCAGAAATATCGCGTCGCGGTCGTTTTACGACAACTTTCCCCGACTTCCTCCGCTCCCTGTTTCTCCCCCGTTCGTTTCTACCTAATATCCGCCACGAGTTTCCCGACTCGGGATTTTTCTTGCGTGCCCCACGTACGTGTGTTTGACGCGCCCTTATTTTCACGCTTAAAGACGACGGCTCGTTACGATTTTCCTATATTCCCCGAAGAGGAGCAACGGGATTTGAAAGTTTCCGAAAGTATTACGAAAAGATGTTACCGTAGGACTGCATTTTGCAGAAAAGTTACAGCTTCGATCTCTCCCACGAATTTCTATTGGACACGAAATGTTCCATTCCGACTTAAAGAAAAGATAGGAAAGATATAATAAAATTAAAATGGTTTTTTTAAATTTTTTAGTCAACCGAAATAGAAGATTGTTCTTTAGTTTAAATACAGATTCGATTCTTTAACAATTCCTGGATCTCAATATCCCTCGAATATTTCCATTTGGAATTCTCGAGGAAATTCACTGTGCCAATTTTTAATACACACCGCACGACTTTGCCCATTCTTAGATTTGAGTTTCCTTTTTACGCGAGACAATTCGGCAGGCTTTTAAGATGGATCGTTCCAGACAATCGCAATCGCTTGATGAAGAAAAGAAGAAAGAAGATATCGTATGTATACAGTGTTTCAGCGATCATGCAGAAATAAGCGTGGTCCAGCCCAGCATTCCCAAATATATATTCTCCTTTCGCCGATAACGAGACGGCTCTTACCTTTCTTATCGTCGCTTCGTTGCTCGCTCGGGCAGCTCTTCAGAGCACCGTTTTGATTGGCGTAGCTCTGCTCGACTTTTGTGTCATCTGAAAAAAATGGTTCGACGTTGCAGCGCGATTATCTCTCGGCAACATTTTATTTATTCAAACACATGAAATTAAATGAAAGAATTTAAAAAATAATAAATCGCAGCAAAACACGATTTACGTTATTCAGCGCTTCAACCGACGAATCCTTGACACGTCACATTTTTATGACAGACTTCGGAGACGCGGAATCGATTTATGTCTCTCACGCGGTACCGGTTAATCGACGAAAATCCACGAGCGCATACGCGCGGAATATACGACGGCGACGAGCGCGGAGCGTCGCGCGCGTCCACGAGGCGCACGACGAGCGCGTTAAATTTAGGCGAGAATTCCGACGGCGACGATGACGCCCATGTTAACCGTAAACCAGCCGCGATTCAGCGGCACACCCGCGACCTGCATGACACGTGAATCGCGATTATGCACTGAGCCGCACGAGTAGATCCAACGAAACCGCCCACGAAACGCGTTTGCGTCCCCACCCGGGATGGAGTCACGTGTTTCGTGCACGCATATCCACGTCGATCCAGGTGAATTTGTATCGCTCACACACGTGGGGACGATTTACCCGGCCGAACGAGTGAGAATTTCAATACCGCCGTGTCGTCCGTGTGTCGGTCGTATGGAGCGGTCCAAAACTCTCAGGTTTCATCCTCCGGAAGATACGGCCGACGCTCGTATACGCTCGTAGCGCGAATCCCTCCGGCACTTAGATGCGCTGACGGGGAGCACCGTGCAAGCACTCGACGATTTTGCGAAAAATCCCACAGAGAGAAATGTGCCGGCTTTTTCCTTTTTTTTTTTTTTAATTCTTTTTCTGAAGGGAGGGAAAGCGCACGAACTCGGGATATTTATGGATAGTGGTGTGCTACGGCGCGCACAGACACGAAACTGTAGCACGCATTAACGCTCGTACGGAGGGGTACACGAGCACGCACGCACACGCGGTCCCCCTCTGAATTCATGAATAGCGCCGCTTCCGAGTTGGACTTCCTTCCGAGCGTACAATGCTGGCGGAGTGACTCTGTCGCGCGAGCGCACCCATCTATTCTCCGCACTTTTCATTGCGTCACGGCAGTCGCGAACGGACACACACGCGCGTACACGGTCGCACGAGATCCGGAAATGACGGAACACTTTTTTTTTTCTTTCGAGCAACCCCCATGCCCCTGTATCTCTGTGTGCGCGCAGCTAAAATAAGGATTCCGACGGGGGTGGAAGTCTCGACGGTGGTCACAAAGATCCGCACGCAGACACGCACGTTCCATCTCGTCAGCGTTGTAACCTTGCGATTACGCAACCTGTCGCTGCGCAACAAAACATATATCACGTTAATTGCATAATGGGATCGAAGAAGCTTACGCGGCAGGGGTTGGGCTGTCACGGACACGAACGCGATAGAGAGGGATGAGAATCGGGGATTAGCTACGATCGCGCGTGTACTGCATAATCCTGCGACGTTTTTGAAAGAGAGCAAAAGGATTCTTTCCCTGAGTTTTTATTTAATCAGCCCCGTAACTCGATTAAATATACAAATAGTCATTTTTCTCGACCAACGTAAAATTATCTACGTAAAATCTGGCTACCAACGAGGAAGGCGCAGGCCTCTGGAAGGAAAATTACGGCGGCGATTTTTCCCGGGGAGACGGGGAAGAGATTATGGGGGACGTTTCGCGCGAGCAACTTCCAGTCAGGTACGACACGGGCCCATTCGCCACGGGCGCGTTAATACGCGCTGTGGACGCGAATGGGTGCGTCGTCATGCCCCGAAGGTGCCAAGCCCACGTTTCCGCGGTTCGCGTCTTCCATCTTCGTCCTCCACGGCTGCCCTGCGCTGCGCCCTTTTCGTCCTTCTCGGTCATCCGACCGAGTGAGGCTGAACCCCCTCGCGAGGAGGCATTTCCTTCGATCCGATCGCCGCTGCCGCTCGTCGCTTGCACAATCGGCCAGCGTGACATATTTTATTGCCCGGCGACTCTGTCCGTTGCATAATCGATCACCGGCGTCACGCTCCGCGTAGATTCGACAAATTATTCCAAGACCCGTGCCCTTGCAACTAGGTTTTACGTCAAGCGCGATTTTTTCATGGAAGTTTTTATGTCGTAGCTACATAATTTTTATATGTAATGAAACATTAAACATAGGAAGGATATATATTTATTCAATGTGATGATGTAATCCTTGATGGAACCAGAAGAAACACTCCCGTATCTCGGTACTATGCTGAAATAAATTTTCAATAGCACAGCGTGCTTTGTTTACTACTGTCGATTTTGACAGCTTAAAGCGAACGCTTTACAGTATTTTCCATGTAGGCGAACGACTGCTCTAAATATCTAATGCGTGGCTTACTCGCGCTGCGATAAAGGAACAATTTCCCGTTCGTACAAGCCCGCTCAACAAACGGGGATTGCTATTTCCGCTGGCGCATTGTTCGATCGAGGCTGCGACTGGGACTTCGCGACGTAAATCGAAAGCCGTTCCATCGGCCGTAATATCGGCGCATAAATATCAGAGCACAAAAGACCGTCGTGAAGAAATTGTTATGGTAATCGTAATTTCGCCGATAGCATCGTTAACTTTGACAAATACGTCGCTCAACATTGTCGCCGTCAGAAAGGTCTAAAGAGCAATATGGAGAGTATTAATGCAGCACTGTCGAAATACGGACAGCCGTATGTTTTGTCATTCAAAAAGTACAAGAGAAAATATATAAAGGAGAACACAGGTCTCTTTGTGACCGAATTTCGTCATAATAAAATTTGAAGCGTACTTATGATACTTGGCTTTATTAACTGGCAGCGTTGATGGCACTTATGACTCTCTCGTACATCCTCTATTTAAAGAATCCGATGACCCTCGAAAAGCGAACGTAATGACGCATCACTAATTGCACTGCATCGTCGCGTCGTGGCAAGAACAGGCCATAAATGGCGATCGAGTTTCAGTGACAAGAAGCGCACTGTTCCGAATTGATGTTGAATTGGATTGTTACGAGAGAAACTTCGATCATTACTGGTCCATGAAACTCACAATTTATCGAACTCAAATCATGCGTTTGCTTATGAAAATCTCGATCGAAATTTACATTATTCGATTACATTATTTTAATTGTAAGTATAGCGTTCACTCGTCCGCAAAATTTTACGAGAATGCTATGCACATTTATGTAAATGCGTGCTCTTTCCGATAGGTTTCAACGTTAAGTACCATGTTTTCCATCGCAAATCTCTCTCCAGTCGAACTTAATCGGTACCTACCGTTCCGCGTCTCGACATCGAACACATTCGAGCTCTCGTCTGGCGCCCGGTCCCGAGAAAAGTCCGAGTTTTCCTCGGTCTTTACGAGATCGTCGAATTCCATCCCCCCGGCCTCGCGACCTTCGCCCTCGGGTCTCAACCCTTTCTCCCATAATTCGACAGATGTTCCCGAGCCCTCCACCTCGTCCTTGAAGCGAACGGTTTTGTTCTCGCGCGCGGGGGACACCTGTTCGCTGTGTCGGCCCTTCAAAATCGGCGCCCTGACGAACAGATCGATCATCGTGCGCTCGATCTTCAGGTGTTCCGCCACGATACGGTCCAGAGTGTCGGCGTACGATCTCCCGCGTTCGTGCGTATCGTCATTTACACGGATCGGGCACCGGAACCCGTCGGGACTTCCTGGATCCTGATGTCCATTCGTTCCGGGTCCCGCGGGAATCGCCACGGTGTTCATCCGCCTGAAATCAAGGCTGTTCAACTTGTTCTCGAAGTTCTGACGGGTCTCCGTGTTACGGAAGCACGGCGGCGGATCGATGAGGAACTTCAGCGCTTCCAGGTGCTCGTAATATTCACGCTCGAGCTCCCCGGCCCTTCTTCCGGCGACGTTGACTTCCTCCCGCCGCGGCCGTCCGGTGTCGTTGCCTCTCCCCGACGTTTCCACGCTTTTCGCGGGTATCTTCCTCTTCCTTTTCAGGTGGACTCCATTAACCGTCCTGGGGATTCCCACGCCCTTCGATCTGGCCTCGTCATCGCCAGCGAGCAACCTCCTTGATTTCGGACGAGTCTCATGCTTGCTCCTGGTCCTCGCGAGTCCTCGGCGTTTCCATGAAGCGCCGAAGCTACGTATCGTGGTCAGAAATCGGACATTGGACCGCGACGAGGTGACCTTCTGCGCGGGTTCGGATCGACGGTGATGATAATGCTGACGACGCGTGGGTGGCCTCTTCGTCATTACCAGCGGATCCGTCGTCTCGCAGTTGCGTCGTCGCGACGAGTTTCGCCGTTTCAGCGTCGTGAGACACTGAATACAATCGAGGAGCTTCATTTTCGTGGAAAATCATCAATTTTTCAATTTCATCCGATTTGTCACCTCTATCGTCGCCCCAATCGGGCTTCATTAATTAGCATTAATCCAACGCGGCCACGCTGAATTTACTTTCATCGCGTGATTTGTCACGACGAGTTCATCCAGCGCGCCCTTTCTTTCCTCATTACGCAATCGCATGCGGATTCATTAAACAGCGATTCGCGACTATTGTACCGTCGGATAATACGCGCATTGTTGACGATCGCGTCATTCACAGGCATCCCCGCTGTTGTATGCGTTTCCTGATTGAACACTCATCGGCACTGCCCTTTATATTAGCTTGAGCATTCACTAAATTGTCGACTAAATTTTGTAAAAAAAAAAGTTTTACGCGAAATTACGTTGTCGTGATAAAACGGAGGATCAAGGGATCGATCGCATAATTATCAACCTGCTTTTACACTTTAATTGTCGACTGAATTTTCTAAAAAAGTTTTACACGAAATTACGTTGTCGTGATAAAACAGAAAATCAAGGGATCGATCACATAATTATCAACAGTCTCTTTATGCACTTTCTCGTTGTGCCGAAAAAAATTAAGTATCTCAGACCTCTTTTATTGCAATATTCACATTTCACTTTTCCATCAATGACTTCTTCCGCAAAACTAGGCGATCGATCCCCGATCCTCGATCGCGAACTAAAAATTCTCGCGATTCCGATGCACCTTCCTCAAATAAGCGACGCGACTTGAAAATCCGATTGCTCGGCGCGGCGCGCTCGACAAGGTGTTCCCCGAGACTGAGCAGGAAGGTGGGGTCCGCAGGCTTCGAGAAGGAAGAAGAAGTGAAGAAGAGGGTCGCCTCCTCGACGTAGGGTCTTCCCGGAGAGCCAAGGGTGCGCCGGCACGGAATTGCCGGCGTGTCGTTGTAGTGGCAGGTGTACCGTCGTGTACGTGAGAGCGTACGTGCGAGTCGGAGGGACAGGTGGGTAACACGTGTGCGTGAGGTAAACACGCACACACGTTCGACGGCGCGGCGTGGGTATGCCCCTGTCTGGATGCGCACCGTACCGCGACGACGAGCGGGCAATTTGGAGAAAAGAGCCGGTAATAATGACCAGAGTGGGATGATCCGCGTACATTTATGGTCCGCGTACACGTCATACGTTGCCTGCGTTCATTAGATCCGTTATTATCCAGCCGTCCGATCCGGAGGATTGGAATAAATCGCCAATTATCGGCGATTGATTGGACGAGACGAAAATTTATAACAGTCTCTGCCTTTCGAAATTGATATCGTTCGATGTTTGTACGAGAATTTCCGAGACGTCTGTTTGTTTTAACAATAGATTTTCGTATTTGTAATTGCGTATTATTACGTGTCAGTTCAATTACAAGGAATTTTTTAAAGAGATCGTTCTTGCTTTCTCTCCCGTAATTGCCAGGCATCGGTGAACAGCGACGCATGGAAAGCGGCGCACGGTTAATTCGGCCAACCAAAACGTCACCGACGCTAACTTCGGTTTCTGCGGTTGTCGCGCATAAAGGAACCGGCCGCCATTGTTCGCCGCTGAGATCATCGGAGATAATTAAACTACGCGCATTGTACGCTCAGTTAACTGGCAGGATTATTGTGCTCGATCAAACATCGGCGGTCATGCGTGGGTAATTCTGGGTCTTCCGTAACGCGACGCGCGAACGAGAACAAGAATAACGATCGAGTTAGACGTAAGTCCCGGAATCTGTGAATTATTAAATGTGCCAACGCACGCGTGTTAATCGTCTAATAGCACAACAATGTCCCTGAAGAGAACACTTACGCGCGATTGCTCTATGAATTAATTATATGTTACTTGCTCTGAAATTATTTCAGTTCCTAACTCTGCGATTATGATTGTACACCCGTAGATAGCCGCGTTAAAAATTAATTGAAAAATGACGGTTTGCTCGATGTTTGATACCGCACGAGATTAATCGGGAATCGATATCGAGCGCGGCGAGCGTTCGTTGCTCAAACAGCCCCGCGATTAAATTGGAAAGTGCTCGTAAATTCGACATTACGTAATTTAATTAATTGCTATTCGATGCATTCAAGAGTTTCTGTCATAGCGGCTTGTCAATTATTTTTATCGATGCGCATTTGTACCGAGAATTTTTTTCTTTTTTGTAAATCGTTTCAAACGTAAATACAATTTTCAATTATGTTAAAAGCCGGTGCCCCATCACCATCGAAATTCACGCGAAAATCGATATTTGTATAAGGAAACGGCGGACTTACTGGCAACATTCCTCTCCGTCTCCGGGCGTATGCGCGTTGTCGTTGTGGTCCTTGTGGTGATCTCTGCGGCACACAAATGACAGAATTACGATTAGTTCCCGTTTCATAAGCGAACTGAGGGACTGATCGAACGGTTTTCGCGGCGAATACCTACTGTTCTGAGTTTCAGTAGTGGTGTTCTCCTGCAGACTGCTTCTGTAGATCCTCCTCTTTGGTGAACCGATATTTTCTCTGCGGCAAAAAACAACAGAAAAACGAAAATAAAATTTCTGGTCGAAGTACGTTAGAACAATAAAAACTTTGCCTTGTTATTTTTGTTACTACAAAAAAAAATCAATGTCTCGATCACTTACTGGTTGAGACCGAGTTTCAACTGTTCCCCAGAATTACGTAGCAGAGCGTGCGCCTCGCTGTTGGTCAGATCTCGAGTGCTCCTTCCATTAATGTTACTGATCAGATCACCCTCTCTCACCCCCTGCTGAGCCGCCTTGCTTCCCGGATTCACCTAAAACCAGCGATACGTGCGGTCAAAAAATTTGGCGACGTTATACCTAGCATCATTTAACGCGAACCAACGCGAGCAATTTCATTGCATCGTGAATCGCGGAGCGAGTTATCAAACCAGTAAGGTGATTGAGAACCACTGCGGTCCCTCGTCGCGCCTAGAGGCAGGCAACTTCCCAGACGTCGACACGCGACGCTGCCTGAAAGCGGTCGTACAGGCGAAGCGACGACAAATTACCGTCACGACGGATCGAAACGCGATAAAATATTGTCGTCATTCAGAAGTCGATATTTTGCGAATAAATAAATGCCGCAGAATATTCAGGACAGATATAAATATTCGGACATGCAAATTTATATTCGTACCGTTTAAGACCATTAACTTTTTTACAGCAAGAACATTTTGCTTATATCTCGAAAGTGGCGGACTGGATGGAACCGGAAAGAAATCGCATCTTGTCGTAGATGAATGAACTTTCTGTTGACGGAATTGAACTTACAACTCATATAGAATCTCTTAAGATAAATCTGGAAACATTAACTTTCTACCGGCGATGTCCGCGCGTCGAGTTGAGATTTAAGAGAGTCCCAGACGCTTAAGATTCTCACCGTGCCGTCGCATTTCCGTTGGCCGGATGCGACTCGGAACTTCAACATCCCGAGGAGCTCCCTCGCTCGATACCCCCGTAGTTGACAAAACGTTACCGCGAAACGTGAAAGTAGCCAGTCAAGAAGACTTGTCCCGATCTCGCTTCTTTGTCGTCGCAGAAACTTTTTATCGTCGAACCCTGTTGTGAGCTTTGAAACGTTCAACCCCTTTTATTCCGTCTACGAAACAAACGGCGCGTGTGTGGCCGTCGTTCACTTACTTCGTAATCTGCTCTTGCTTTTCTATCTATTGGAAAACTTCTAAAGCTACGTACGAGAATTCCTCCTATCTGCTGAATTAATCAAAGCATTCTACGTTTTAAATCGTTTCCTTTGACTCGTGTGAATTGACGCGTGTGATTCATCGCAGCGAGTTACACGTGTAACGTCAGACGAAAATACGGAAAAGTCGCGAATCGCCGCCCGTTGGGCTAGCGCGATCGCCGTGGATTTCGCGAAATGAGAATTAAGTATCTCGCGGACGAGATGAATTCGAGAATAACTCTCGATCGCGAGATGATGACTAGAACGACCCGACTAGAAGGGTGGACGGTGTACAACGCGCCGGAGGCGAAAGAGTACTGACGCTGGTCTCTGTGAACGGGATGCATCCACGTCGTCGGACCGCCGTCACACCGGCGCCAGACTTTTCGGCTACAGCGGAACAACAGGGGAAGTTTTCCGGCTGACCTTCCCCGTGATGCTGTTTGGATTTCGAGAGGGACAAAGGAGGTGGCTGCAACAATGAGATATACGCCGACCCGATTTCCCGTACGAAGGAACACGATCTTGTTTACGCAACGTGAACTTGGCTTCCGGCCAGATCGCATTGTTTCTCGCATTAACTCGATTAGAAATGTATCAATCGACGCGTTATTTTGATTTTATTTCGTTTTTTTTTACCGCGCGTGAAGATTGTTGGAAACAGCAGATGAAGAAAGATAACGTTTTGCTTAAGTCGCATTAATAGAATGAAATAAACTTTCGCGCTTTAATATTCATTGCGAAGAAAATTATCGCGCGACAGATAGAAGACAGGTAACTAAATTATCGACGAGGCGAGCGAGCGAGCGGCCGCAAAAATACGCTCGATGTGAAACGGGCGGACGAGCGTTGAACTACTCGACAGAATGTCACGCTTTGCGCGTAAGTCTTTCAAACTTTTAACTATGCGAGACGCACGACTTCCCAGGCGCATCGACAAAACTTGGGACACTCTGCTTCATTACCAACTAACGCGAGTCACTTCCGCGACTAAACAACTTTCCGAGATGTTTGCGACAACGTATCGTTCTAAACTCCGCGTAAATAGATTCCGCGTATAAATAAACCAATTTTTAATGGACAATTATCCATGCATTTGAAATTAATTGACGCCTCCTTCACACGGAACGTATAAATTAAAAAAAAAAAAAAACACTGATTTCGATATAATATCACTTTTGATAACATTGATAAATCTACCTTCTATCTCGGCCACGGTACTTTTGAGATACTCATTTTACGCTCAAGTGCCACACAAGTTTCGTCCGATTTTAACGACCCTTTAAACGTCGTGCGGCGAGCCGGAGGGAGGCCGGCAAAAGCGATTGGAGAAAGCGACGGAGAAAATTGCTTTCGGGCAACGCGGGATAATAGCATCCAGAGGCGAGAACGCGGCGATGGAAAGCGAGGGAAAAATCGGACAAGATATGATGCAGGACCGGTCGAGGATCATCGTGACCAACTCTCCGCGGGGTATCAGCCGGATAATAAGCGATCTCAGAGGGCTGCCGAACCCGCCGGCGGGTGTTCGCACACTTTGCTAAAACGCTCGTATAATTCGTTCCACAATCGCGCGAATAATAATACCGGACGCACCCATTTGAGAACTGAGAATTGAGAAACCTGGGCAATTTTGAGCGAAAAAAAGAGGAAGGCCATCTTTAGAAGATTAAGAAACAAATTTTAACTCTTCTGACGTTTAATTTGTTTGCAGTCGTAATTTGTGCAACTCAAGAAAGGTAAAAGAAAGAAGGAGCGCAGATTATTTCCCATTGACAGTTCAAGTTCGATTTTTCCACGTCAAGAGCAATTTTCGCTTCGCCGTACACAGGCGCCTCGGTAACTCTTATCAAACTCGAAAACCTGTCGGGAGTGTTTCGTATTTGATTATACAATATTGTATCGGCGCTTCTCCGAGGCGATTTATATCTCTCTCGCGGAGGATTCACGCGGCAATCATGCGACGCGGCAGACCGAAAAATTGAATATTCCCGGGAGCGCGTTCGATGCCGATGCTCAAACCTCGAACGGTGAAACCGCGGATCCCGCATTTTTTGCGCGTATTTCCCGACCGTTACGCTATCTTTGCGTAACTATGAGAACAAAACGAACCTAACGGTGACGAAAACCACTGGAACTTCCGTCTATCGAGCCAGCGGCTTTGCGACATCGCTTTAATATTAATTAAACTGCATCTCGCGAATTTATTCGTACCTAAAGAAAGTGTTGTGACAAATAAATTTTCTCGACCCCCTTTTGCGATCGTTTACCAAGCGAAGAATGTAGGGAACGTCGTCGACCTCGTGTCAGCTTTAATTGACGAAGCCAATTCGAGTCATTATGTGATTATCGCGCAACAAGGCGGCCCGTTACGTACAAAAGACATCGTCGAAACCAAGAAATTACCGTTCGTCGAGGATCGTTAGCGGTCTGTTCCATTCTAGGTACCGTAGAGTTTCCGCTACCGAATAAGACGTGAAACCTCAACCAATCGCACGTACGTAACGATCGGTTACGGGGAACGGGCACACCGCACAACAATACGCGGGTGTATGCATAATGCACTCGTCGTCGACGAGTGCAAACTTCCGCGCTTTCCGCGGAAAAACTTGCCGGCAGATATAAGTTACGACATCTCGGTGGATCTCGGCGGGATGGAAATGGGAAATTGCAAAATGCCGGGCGCGCGCGAGCGAGTGCTCGAGTTACGCATTTATCACAAAATAAAATTTTTCCCGCGCCACGATGGCATTTCCTAAGACTCGGCTGCACGTGTGACGCATGGCTGTATAAATTCCACGGGGAGAAGTTACCAATCCTGCTCCGGAGTTTCCAAATTCGAATGCTAAATCGCCTCGCTTGATATACGGACGAAGTAATTATGAAGTAAGAGGAGGGGGATTGAATTGAGTGAAATATTTCATGGTCCATTTAACGCGGAACTCTTGCGACTCCACCTGGGCATTTACACGTCGATATTTACGATATTTACACAGAAAAGAAGAGCTAGACTCTCTAGCCGCGAATTGCGTATGCATAAGAAACACGTAACAAGTCGAAGAGATTTCCAGGTAGTCGACACTTTCGTCGCCACGTGAGCTGAATGCGTCGTCTCGGTGTATCTCGCTCTAAGAAAGCGTATACGTCAGGATCTTTCAATATATCTCGTTTCGAAATCTGTTTCCGCGAAGGCTGTATCGCGAAGTGAAATGTGGCCGCTCGAGACAGACACTAAATTGTAATTTAGCTGTTGATCGCGGTCACGCCGCCCAGGCGATAAATCTGGGAACACCCACCACGATACGCAGCATTCGTGCAAGATAACAGTAATTTATAAATGATATTATACACATACAAACGCATATATGTACAAATATATTGCAAGATATATGTAAAGTCACAATTTATTGATTTCGACCATAATATCCAATTCATTTTGGTCACGACTCAGCGCTCAATTATTTTAAAAGTATGAGCAGCGAAGTAGTTAAAATTTCGTAAATTAAATAAAAGTGTCGTAATATATGAATTTCGCATTAATTTATAATCCAATCTTCGCGCTTTCACGAAATATCAGAGGAGCAGAAATTTCTCCTCGTTTCTCTATATAGCTCGTTTTAGTCACCCCACGACGAGACAAATTTGTTAACGAGAAGAAAGCCGTATATTAATTACCGCGCAACTTTGGAGTAAGATGCATCCGAGAGCTGCAGAAAGAAAACTGCACACAAATAAATTATGAGTTATTACCCTTTAATTGATCACTTGTATATCTGGAAACAGTTCGCGACGCAAGTTTCTCCCGCGGTTGTTAGTCTCATAAGCGAGGCGCGCGCATTAATTATAATTCAATCGAAGATGCACTACGTCGGAACGACGACAACGACGACGAACTTCGACCATTAGCCGAGCGGGACTCGCGGGGAAACGAGAGGGACGGAGGCAAATCGTGGTGTGGCATTCAAAGGAGACAGGAAGAAAGGACCGACGTCGGTCCCCTGAAATGCATTATGCATTCGGCTAGTTCCTCGCTTCGACTAAGGAAGGTTGAAGGCTTAATTAGAAGGCAGACTGGAGGAAAGCAATTAAACTCACTGCGCCCGGGGGCAGGAAAAACAGATCGCGATATAAACGTCGGCGTCATCGTTGTTTGACTGGCGTTCGCTTGTCCGTTTGACATCCCTCGCAACCTCTAGCCTTTAAAACGGTGATTGTACGCGAAACGATGATTGTCGCGAATCGGTCGGTTTTGCAGATTTTTATCGCAGATCTCAATTTTGCATCATTTTTTTAGATTTCTACTTTTCGTTTCAAATTTAATAGGACATCTGTGTTCTTTGAGGCAAATCTCGAATTGAATTTATATTTAAATTTCAGAATCTTTCCAGGATACATCTCTGTAAGATATTTTTCCAGAAAGATTCGTGCAATCTGTTCGGATTCGATAATACCTCGACACATTTCGCACGAAGTACGTTTGTCGCATCGTGTATTTTTAATAGTGCCGATCGCAATGTATGATCCATTACGGTAATATTGGCATTCTGTGTAAATATCCATATAAATTTGGTTTGGATAGTCACGTTTCGCGGGTATTTATGCAATATCCAATATTCCAGCCGCGAAATCCACTCGATGCGCGCCATCGATATCGCATGCATATTCGCCGCTCGCTTAAAACGTTCAATAAAGTGTCTTATAAAAATGATAAAAAAAAACTATGAACCAAAATATAACGTCGAAAACATTTTATATTCGGCGCGCTGAATAGTTTTTCAAGAAAAATTCACATCGGCACACGTGTAGCTATAATGGAACAATAACAGTCCTGAAGGATGTAAAAAGAATAAAAGATAATAGCAAACGTAGCGAATTAAATTTACTCATCTCGTTCAAAGGAACGAAAAACTAAAAAGTCAGGCAATTAACTTAGTATTTAACTTGGTTTTTATATTGACTTCACGCAAACCCGCTGTCAGAAACAAATCCCAATTCTCCACCCTTTCCTTTGAAAGAGAAGACTCTGCTATTCTGTTTGCGCATTCTGAAAAAAGCAGAAATTTTTGACGGAATATCTCACCCACCCCCACACGCGCCATTCCCTATCACGCTGCGAGAATGCTGTCATTCACCTGATGCGCTTGTTTTCCGCCCTACGACGAATTCTTACTCGAACTATGGAGCGTCAACGAATTTACCGGCGAAAATTCCGTGCCGCACGTTCGTCAATCCCGCATAAAAGTCGACTAACTCCTGTGATCGCGAGATGACGAAGGCGACGAGGGCTGCGTCGACGCCCCCTCGAATTATCAGCGTCACACAAACCAGACGCCCGTGTTCTCGGCAGCTTGACAACGGATATTAACCCGCTGCGCATTCCGTTGTCGATGTCGCCTGGGTCGTAATTGACGAGCTGAGAGTATAAGGACGACGCAACAACGGGAACGAAGCGTGTATCGGCATCATTTGACGTATTCTCGCGCGACGGATATATTTCCGCGCGATAAGCAGGATATTCATTCCTCAACAAGGAGTGACAAAGACCCATACTTCAATCTTTTCATTAGACAGTGTCCTCTTTATTTATGGAATCAATTCAGTTCGTTCAAACTCGCGTCGAGTGCTTGGCGCGCACTCAAGAAATCAACGACGCCATGTGACTGGCATTGCACGACTCTCGATTATTTATATCGTTTAGAAAAGAAAGAGAGAGAGAGAGAGAGAGAGAGAGAGAGAGAGAAATCTTATCGATGTGCAGGCTTCTTGTTGAGAGCAAGGTGAAGGTAAAATTTTATGAGAGATAGAAACTTGATTTTTCGATCATTTCTACGTATTTCACACAAGCAATAATGAAAGAAAACAACTTACCCTTTGCGGTAATTTATTACAAAAATATGATTTTAATTATTTATAAATAACGTGAACAAGAAATTCCTTTTCGTTTCTGCATGCAATAAATTAAAATCCAAACTCCTGCGCAGACCAGAATATAACGGCGGATTAGTCGCGATGAAATATTCGTATCGGTAACCAACCCTGCGTTCGGCCGGCCCTAATAGCCGCGGATTATGTCGTAGGCTGGGCTAAGTCTCTAATTAATTTCTACACCCAATTTTCCGATCTGCCACCGTGATTTATTATTGCGTTACGTATCGCGGATCACATCGCGTTAAATCACTCTTGCTTCTTGTCCGAAGATACAGCCTTAATCACGAATGTTTTAACACACGTTGATGAATAATGGCATAAGCCTACTCTTGACGGCTCAGCTTCGCACGATTCTCAACGCTCGTGAACGCATTCACGTGTCGGAAATCGTTAGCGCGAAAGCGAAAACGCGTCGGTGAGGTAACTTCGTTTAAAAATACAGCTCGGTCGAGCCGCGTGGCTTTCGCCCGCTGGTATAATTTCAATGAAAGCATATTTTGCGGTCATCGAGTTCTTTGACGTTCGCTTCTCGATACCGCCACCCGGTGACCTTCGATCGATGAGCTTGCACGAAGCTTTCCGAATTCAAAATAGCCACGCTGGCCGACGCGTCTCAAGTTTCTCTCGAACATTTCGGGTATCTCGCATTTGCCCTGCGATAGTAAAGTGAAACATTTTCGTAAAATTTGTATAAAACAAGTATTCGGGGTGAGATAAGAACACTACTGAAAATTTACTTTTCACGAGCTCGTCGGTTATCTTCGGCAGTATTTTCGATTTCGCGTTTTAAAAGATCATCTTTAATTTACATCGAAAAGATCGATCGTTCCCAATGCTGGGTCAAGCCGATCCTATCGATGTCACCTGCAAGTCGCCCGATAATAACCTCTCACAATAGTGACCCGCACTCCGCAACTCGGCTTGCGATCGATCGCGCTACCGTTTTTAGCCGACGTAAATTCACTGCGCTTTACAAAGCGAGAGTATGGTCCGTCCTTTTGGCGATGTTAAAAAATTTCCTTCAGCATAAAGCGAACAGCTGAGTGAATAAAAATTAGTAGAGACGAGAAGATGAAAAACGAGATGAAAATATGATTGAAGCAGCAAAAGAGATGCAAAATTTCGATATTGCGGCGAGCGTGTTTACCGATACAACACTGCACTATCCGGGAAAATTCGCGTATCTCCTTAATAGCGATGTAATTTACAACATTTCAGAATTTAAGAACATATTCAAAGCATGAATTTTTAAACGAAAAACGTAAACTTCGGCCAGTTATGTAAATTTCTAGATATTGGTCTGTTCCTTCTGACTACGCACTTTCTACATTTTTATTCTTTTTTGTTCCTCCTGTTCTCTCAATGCGTGCTTTTATTCTAAGTATAGGAAGTGTGAAAGAGTACGACTCAAGTATTAATGGGAAAGAGAATATAAGAGAAATGAAGACGCGATATTTTCCTTTATACCTAAAAGCTTTTGTCCGTTTCATTTGCCGATGACGTGTGCTTAAAAATGGGACACCGTTATCAGTGAAGATGTTAAATCGTGATGTAAAATTATACATGTTCAATAACAGCGTAGCCGATCTCAAACGGTTTCTAATAACCGTTTTGAACGGAAATTTGATCAATATCTTGATTGTAATTATTTTAATATCTAATGAATCTTCATAGATAATTCAATGTGATTTTTTAACTATTTTTAATAGCATGTTAACGATATCGCTTATGACAAGAGCACTAATGTTTTGGCATTTTAATGAAGAACAATCGACACCAAATCGGTCAGAAACTTATTATTATTAAATATTATGTCTCGGTTCTCGAGACATCCTACGTATTTTCGACTTATAACATGTCATTTTAACATGTTCAATTTTACTTCTCGTGATATCTCTGTCGTTCTGTTTCTCTATCTCTCAAAAGATCGTCAAAGGAGATTGCGAGTTCGATCTCGTAGCAAGCGGACCTTTGCGCACTTCACTCGCCCACCACTCACCGCGTGTTTCCTCCCGTATTTTCCCGTGGACTCGTTTTACTCGATTGATTTTCCGGCGAGCTTTCCCCGCGCCGCGTCACCAGCGGTCCGATTTCGCTCTTGTCGCGGCGTCGCGACGCTCGTTTACCGTCGCGCGCACAATCGCATACCTCTTCTTATCTACGAGTGAAACGGTATCGCGACACCATGCACGTGAACGCGCGAGTCGCTTTTCCGTCGGGATGAAAAAATGAAATAGTCGCAACCATGCAGCCGCGTGTATTTCGTGGCCGATGGCGCCGGATCTGGCCGGTTCACTGAGCGAGGTAGACCGCGACCGATGCCTAGGACAATATTAGAATC